AAATTCTCTCCTCTCCAATACTTTCATAGTTTACCTTTACAAACAATATGGAATAAAAACAAACAATAATTTACACAGAGAAAACAAAGAATACATATACACAGTACAAGCTCCCCAAACAGGGCCGGATTCAGGAGTGGGCAAAGTGGGCAGCTGCCCAGGGGCCTCCACAATCTGGGGGCCTCCACATATCAGGGCTGGTCGACTTGAAACCACATGAATGACTCCAGTCATGTCTCACTTTTGTGTGTTGGGAATTTGTACACTATCAATAAATATACAGTTAATTAAAAATTTCTCAATGTTCTAATTTCCTCAGTATAACTGCATATGGCTTCAAAATTCTCCAAAGAAGTGTTCAAATTTCAAAATTTTCCCGGGGGGCTTGTAGTGGATTTCTCCCCTACAAACGCTGTTTGTCGCTGAGTAGCCGACCCCACGAATTCCCCAGTGTATGCCTCGTGGTCTAGGTCAACCAGCGCCGCCCACGGAGCGGGGGTCAACTACTAAGCCACGCCAATCCCCGCTATTTAAGACCTGACCTCGTGGTGACCTGCCTCTTTCTACCTACACCAACCAGCCAGCAACACCTCCTCCTCCTCCGCCTGCCTGGCGGTCCTCGCTCCCGCCGGCGAGCATGACGACCCACAAGCTGTCCTCCTCTGAGCACCCTCACCAACCAGCTCTCTCTACTCAACGCTTGCAAACAACTCATACCCCACAGACTTACAGCGCCCCTCGGAACTCCCAGATGTTTAGGCTCGCTTCACTCGCCACCCCACCCTCTTGGGTAGTTATAATGAGGGGGGCCTCCACAAAGAGGCTGCCCATGGGCCTCCACAGGTCTAAATCCGGCACTGTCCCCAAAACATGCAAACAACGTATACAATGCGAGTTAGTTTAGTTATCAGAAGCGAACTCACTGTCACACACACACTTGGCCTTCACTTTACAACAAGAAAAACAACAAAAGAGCATCGCTGAGGAAGTATCTACGACATTCGATCCTCTGCCAATATCCAATACCACTTGGCTTTCTGGCGTTCATACAAAAAAATAAACACGCGGGAAGTCATTACGAAAGAACACACAACATAACTACGATAATAAAGTAATGAAGAATAGAGAAATATTACGAAAGGGTGAATAAGAAACTTGATAATAATAAATAAAGACAAAATTAGAATATTGACGTATTGGAAAATAAACGACGCACATAAAGTCATAGAAATTAAGTAATAATCAATGAAAGTGAATATTAGGTAAAATTACGTACAGTAGATATGCAAATTAAGGGGAAGAGATTCAGTAATATTGTATTGATGTTATAATGCATTACTGTTGTATAAGACCTTTAAACAGGTATTCTAGGTTAGGTTAGGTTAGGTTAGTATAGGATGAGAGGGAGAGAGAGAGAGAGGGAGACAACGAGGGGGAGAGGGAAGGAAGGAAGAGAGAGAAAGTGTGGGTTATTGGTGTGTGTGTGTGTGAGTAATGCCTTCCTCTGTGTATGTATGAGTGTCCGTGAATATGTTTTAATGTGTGTGTGCCTGTGTACGTGTTTACATCAACGTGGACATGTGTGTGTTTGTGTCGATCATATTTCTCTTTTTTTTACGGCAGCTACCCCCCACTCCTAGGACACGCCCCTACCCCCACGAAGACCAATTCATGAACATAACCCATGACTCACTCACACACACCCGCCGATTACAATACTCTCCTCCAATAACCAACATTATCACATAACGAATTCAAACATCAATTTATTAACCCCATTTTTTACTTTAGTGGTATATATATAAATTACATTGTTTGTATTAGAGCTGTAGTTAAGTGATTACAATGGTAAGTTAACATTGGTGCTACAGGACAGGTACCATTGTTACTGTACAGATGGCAGGTTTAATTGCTCCATTACCTGTATTATTATGCATGGTAGCTGTCTGTCTGTCTCTATCCATCTATTCATCCACCAATTTATCTATTATCACACATCTATATAAGACGTATGTATGTATGTATGTATGTATGTATGTATGTATGTATGTATGACACGTGTACATAAAGCGTGTGAGTATATAGCGACCTAGTTCATATTGCTTCATACCTCCGTTTATCATCCTGTCCGTCTCTCCGGATGTTTCATGAGCGTGTGTGTGTGTGTGTGTCAAGGGTTATGCAATGTGTTATGTAGCAATACGTCTCTGGAGCTGTAACGATCACTGTATTATTATTATTGTTATATACGTACACGCATACACACACGTACATATATTGAATTATATGCAAATACATGCACACACATACATAAACGCACACATAATCATATCATCTCACACACACACACATACACGCACACACACACACGCGCACACACACACACATACACGCACACACACACACATACACACACATACACCCGCGTACACACACACAAGTTCATGAAATAACAGTAACAATTTCGTGTTGTGAATATTTAGCTCATGAAACACCAAAGTTGTCTGTGTGTTTGTGAGGATCGTCACCCAATGTGGAGTGTGGCGAGCAGAGCTATCATCGCCACTTAGACTGTAGTGTGGCGAGCAGTTAACATCACCGCTTAGTGCGTGTGGCGAGCAGAGATAACACGTGTGGGGACCCCTTTACCTTCACACTGGTAGAGGTAGAAGTAGACGCTGAGGGCCCCTGGAAGACTGACTGACTGGTGGTGGTGTTGACAGTATCTACAGAAAGCAGTAACACTTCGGCTTTGTCTACTTTAGGATGTAGGTCTCCGTCAGGCGCCTCCGTCTTTGTGGGGAGGTGGTCCGCCATCGTACACAGATAGTGGCTTTAAAACGTAATACCCAGGAGACGAGCGAAGTGTAAGTTAACAACAGATGAGGCGTGATGCTCGATGGACCGGAGGGGTGAAACGTCAGTGTGTTGTCACGTCTGAGGCCAAACTAGCTAGCAGACACACCTACCGCTGGCCCACCACGACCACTGAAGGTGGCGCTTCAACACGACCTTCCTCTTCACCTTCCATGCACCCGTTAATCGTCGCCTTAATCCCCGCTCTCAACTACCGCCTGGAACCTTCCCATACCTATACCTCGTAAATATTGTGTCACCCTCCACCACGAATGGATGACGAGAGAGAGAGAGAGAGAGAGAGAGAGAGAGAGAGAGTTAAAAACATTTATCTTGCTCACTTAAGACGAGTTGGCTGATTGCCTCAACATTTCGTCTGCTCTGTCCACACTAACAACTTAATAACCAACACCTGAAGCTTTACCTGAGGTTGTACTGTGTTAGTGAGTGGCCAGGGTGAAAGAAGGGGGGGAGGGCCAGGGTGTGGGGGGCAGGGCCAGGGCCAGGGTGGGGGGGCAGGGCCAGGGTGGGGGGGGGCCAGGGGGGGGGGGGCAGGGCCAGGGTGGAGTGGCAGGGGGGTGTGGGGGGCAGGGCCAGGGTGGGGGGCAGGGCCAGGGTGGGGGCAGGGCCAGGGGTGGGGGGGCAGGGCCAGGGGTGGGGGGGGGCAGGGCCAGGGGTGGGGGAGGCCAGGCCAGGGGTGGGGAGGGCAGGGCCAGGGTGGGGAGGGCAGGGCCAGGTGGGGGAAGGGACAGGGTGTGGGGGGCAGGGCCAGGGTGGGGGGGAAGGGACAGGGTGTGGGGGCAGTGGGGGGCAGGGCCAGGGTGGGGGCAGGGCCAGGGGGGAAGGGACACAGGGTGGGGGCAGGGCCAGGGGGGGCAGGGGCCAGGGTGGGGGAAGGGACAGGGGTGTGGGGGGGCAGGGCCAGGGGTGGGGGGAAGGGACAGGGTGTGGGGGCAGGGCAGGGCCAGGGTGGAAGGGAAGGGCCAGGGGTGGGGAGCAGGGTGGGGGGCAGGGCCAGGAGGGGGGAGGGCAGGGCCAGGGTGGGGGAGGCAGGGCCAGGTGTGGGGGCAGGGCCAGGGTGGGGGAAGGGGGGGGGAAGGAGGGTGGGGGCAGGGCCAGGGTGGGGGGCAGGGCCAGTGGGGGAAGGGCCAGGGTGGGGGGAAGGGGGCCAGGGTGGGGGAAGGGCCAGGTGGGGACAGGGCCAGGAAGGGGGCAGGGCCAGGGTGGGGACCAGGGCCAGGGTGTGGGGGGGGGCAGGGTCAGTGTTAGGGCTGGGGGGCTGCCAGGGCCTACCGTCACCAGGAGAGCTTCACCGAGGCTTCCTCTTGACCGCTTTACACTGACCTGCTTCTGTAGTGAAGTGAATGTCTTTGAAGTGATCTTAATGATAAAGCTTTACATTGTTATAACCACTACTACTATCATTACTACTATCACACCACACCACTACTACTAATACTACTCCTACTAACACTAGTACTAATAACGCTACCACACTTTTTCATAAGGTGGCCTCCAGGCTCCCCCAATAGCCATACCTTCGCCACCACTTTATTACATTAATATTAAATATCCTAATACAAAAGTAGCTACCCTAGCTGTGTTAGTTAAGCCGCAGATCTATCCGGCATTCAGTGACTGTTGCCTCATAGTCAATATCTGTTGTCGGCTTTGGGGCCAAATATCTCGCTCCTCTGAGACAAGGTTAATGCAGACCTAAGCAGAGAGAAGGATAGTCGACATCTTAACCTAAAAAAAGCAAATTAACTTCTGGGTTACTACTATTTACTAGCACCACTACTACTACTACTACTACTATTAACACTACAACTAATACTATCCCTACCACGTATAGACCTCTAGGTGGGATGAGCATTAGGTAAGTTAGGTCAATATATGAACATTTATCACTGTACTGAACCAATGAAAATTATTTTGGTTATTCTTACACGATAAATAAATGTAAAAAGCTGGATAAATAAACTTTAAAATAATCACAATTAAAAACCTAAATGCTACATTATCTAGTAATCTGATAAAGGATAAAATAAACAAAGAAAGTAGAAATGAGTTAAATTTGTGTAATTATCAGGTTTTTTATTTAGGCTCGTAGCGGCATCAGTTTAGGCTCGTGGCTCCACCATGTAAACAAGAGTGAAGGAGAAGCCGCGGGAACTGATACACAACCTGGCCTCTGATGACTTGGTCTTGCTCTAACTAATTCTGGCAACTAATATAACTCATTTTTAGGTATAAACATTTCTCATGAGTTTATATATATTGAGAAACATTAATATACATCCTCAAATATATGGTTAAGAGTCAGTGAGTAAACAAATATTAGTTTGGGACGTTACAATGAGGAGATACGATATTTTTTAAAATTCATTTGTGTTTTGATGGTATATTAACATTGACAGCTGAGACTATGTGGTGTTATTTACTCAGGTGAAGGTGTAGGTGAAGGGTATCACCTTATTAATAGGGTATTTTGGGTAAATGTTTATGATATACACTAAAAGCTGCGTCTGGTTGATATAAGCTTGACGTCGTTATTTAGGCTGTTATTTACACTCTCTCTTTGTCATTATAAACCCATGTGAACAATTATCACTATTTAAATCATTAATAGTTACCACTAATGTAAAATTTCTCAAACAAAATTACCAAACATTTCAGAAACAAATTTGAACTTGGAATATACTTATAAATATGGAATAAAGTTTTTGAATTATGAGTGAATTTTTTCATTGAGAAATTTAGCCATGGTGCGTCTTAAACTGCAGCAAAATGTACAGTACATCGCGTGAATGTGAATGCTGTGCGTCCTCTTATGAGTTAAACAAAAAATAATTACCGAGGATCGTCCGCCAATGCACCGTAGAAGTTGCCATTAGAGAATAGCAGCTAACCGACACAAGCACGGAAGAATGGCCTTAAAACATCGACGATAATGTCACAGGAAGTAATTGTGTCATCGTCTGGTTCTAAGTTGCCACATGAGGTCAGTGTTATATTAATTATTGTGTGTTCTTATAATATTTTCCCTGACTTAAGCTTTAACTCTCAACAGACTGATGCAGTAGAGAGATGGCAAGACAAGCGCCCTGGACTCACAACAACATGAACATTGACGTGATCGATATTGCGTCCGATAACGTGAACATTGACTTGGTCGATATTGGGTCCGATAACGTGAACATTGACTTGGTCGATATTGGGTCCGATAACGTGAACATTGACTTGGTCGATATTGGGTCCGATAGTACTGACGAGGTGGAGAGCGAAGATGTGGAATCCATCGCTACAGACTTGTCAACAGATCTGAACAATGAAGGTGGTGAGTGTTGAGGTGACATGATGATTAGATCCCATCCCCTCTCCCAGTTTATTTCACTTTGAGATTAACCTAACCAAACTTAACATAACCTATCCTAATATAACATAATCTAACCTTACCTGACGTAACATATTCTAACATAATTTAACCCTAACCTAACAGAACCTAACCTAACTTAATCTAATCCAATGTAACCTAATCCTCTCCCAGATAGATTTAGGATATTTTATCATCAGTTAAATATGTTAGGGAGATAATCTTCAAGTAATGTGGTAAATTTAACTGCTCCTGTATCTCTCAACATATCCTATATCCAATTTGCCAAACTCACTAGTAAAGCTTGAATATATTTGTGGTCAGAATTGTTAAGCTGGGAAAGCTTTATCAAACACTTGTGTGGTATTTTTGGAAAGTATTGTACAATTTTGTTCTCTGTTTACATTTAAAAATAAAAGCTGATAATTTTAACTCAAATGATTTTTTGGGATGAATTTCTAATACTCTGTGTATGTATGTATGTGTAAACTCCATCAGTAGGAAGGAAGTGTGTGCATGTGTATAATGTTGTAAGTGACACATAGGTTATGCATACATTATGTTGTGCTGTTGTGTACTTTCCCAGGTAACAGTAATAGTGGAGGAGACGTCGGGGAACGCCAACGAGAACAAAATGAAGAAGTTAGTATGATTTATCTTCTGTATTTCCATCATATTGAAGGTGACAGTAATACAGAAAGGTTTTGTATTGGCACCTGAAGGGAATACAGTACTGAAATTGGAAACTTTAAATGCATTTCTTGTGTAATTTTTTGCTGTATGCCAATTGGTTAGGTCTTAAGGGCTGGGCTTAGTTATTACTGGTAACTATGCCTTAAGGTCGAAGACTAATGCGCAAAATTGGAACTTGAATCGTCCACCGATGATGGCTACCGTCCCTATAGCTAACTTCCACTGATAATGGCTGCTGTTTTTTAAGAATGAAACTTTTTTTTCTGTTTAACTAACTTGCTCATGTAATTCTCACCCCAGGAGTCAAGCCTAAGTCCAATACTGGGAGAACGGAGAACACAAGACAGCAGCATCGGCCTACACATAGGGGCGGAAGCCAGAGGCAGCCGGGGAGCGATGAGTTTGGTGATCATCGATGATGATTCTGAGGTGTAGCATAGTATAGTATAAGTTTTGTTCCATGATCATAATTTGTTCCATCCCAGTACTTACAAATTGTACCATACCAATACTCATAATTTATTCCATCCTGGTGGTACTTATAATTTGCTCTATGATCATAATAGTAACACATAAATTTGGAACTATTAGAGTAAAACCTCCACTTGATGGGCTATGTGGAGAAGAAAGTCCATTATGTCGAGGGTCCGTCGGATGTGAAATCTCCACCTAACGAACTATTTAGTTCATTATATGAAAGAACATACCAGTAAGCTTGTGTCATTCAGCTCAATACGTAGCTAAAATATAACGATCATTTGTTTTGTTCTTATATCTAAGGTTCTATCTTTTACCTCAATACTGTACATGTTTGTTATCCAAAGCTAAGACATGGTGTTGGTGGTACAGCAGTAATCTGTATGTCTCTTGGGTTCAGTCCCCAGATGTGGGAGGGTCTTATCTGGAATACTTTCATAATGTATTCATATTAGTATTCAGAGGCAAAAACTATTTATATTCATAGACATTTGATGTAAATTCGTATTTAGAAACTGAACTCCTGTATTCACTCCCTTGCTGGTGAAATGATAACTAAATTAAACAAAATATAAATATCTAATGCAAGATATACATTTTTCTGCTGCAAGAAAAATCCAGACCCGTACAGTACTCCATCTGCCTATAACCGAGTGTTTGGTGTCAGGATATGAGCGGTGGTCATAAATTGTCACTGTTTGTAATTCATTTCCCACTCAATAATTTCACTCAATTTACTGTAACAATCATTTGGTTTTCATCAATGTTTGAAATTATTAAGTTACAAACTTTAAAAAACAACAACTATAGTACTGTATATTACAGAGTCCGTCTGAGGAACAAAGCATGAGCTTTGAGCTGATCCGTACCCCACCTGACCTCCGGATAGAGATGCCAGAGGAACCACCAGATATCTCATCCGCTCACCCTAGCCAGTCAACAGCCCCCTCCCTAGAGCCACAGTTGGCCGGTCCAGCACAAGTTCAGGAGACCAACGTGGCTTCAGCTGAGGCTAGACAACCACAGGAACCTCCTCCAGCTAGTGAACCAAATATCCAAGCTGGACCATCGCACCAGGTGACTCCAGAGAAAGCCAAACCAGGTAAAAATTATTAGATTGTTTGCATGTGTTACCAAATTTGTCGTCGGTCTGATACATAATCCGTGGCACAAAATTATTATATACACGTGTGAGTAAATGACGACGAGTGTTTGTTATGACGGTACAGTACGTAGGTTTTTTTAACTACAGTACAGATTAAAGCATAGTTCTGTATGACCGAGTTTTTTCAGTAATGGCTAATAATGCTTTATTCAATGATAAAGGTGAAAGACTATGTCCACAGGATGATTCTAATTTATGGAAGTGTCAGGAATAAAATATGTACTGTACTGGCAGAACTATATTATTATTTATTATTTTACTAAATTATTGTCACCCATCAGCGTACTTTATTCATCCAGTGTTAGAAATAGAAGGAACAAACATTAATGATAAAGAAAGTCTGAGAGAGACGGCGTCGGGTCATTTATGTTCATGTGGTGGATGGATTTTTTTGGAGTATGTTAAAATTATCTTGTAGCAGAGGAGGAGATGAATGCACTGTGGTAGATGTACAGTATTACCAATTTGTTTAACATCATCACTCAAGGACTTCCCTTTATAAACATTAGAAAAGGTTGTAGATGATAATAGGTCATAGGGATGATGATAATAATTAAGATGCTCTCATATCAGCTGCACACACACACACACACACAGCCTGAGTGTCATGATTAATTCAATTCCACTGTATTACAAACTCATTTAGGTAAAGACTATTTCCATGTATTAGAGGAAGATTATTGCTTACTAGACCATGAGCTGGAGTCACATAATTATATAATGTCTCTACCTTACAGCTCCTTCACCACAGTCAGATGAAGACGGTCAGATCTGTCCGATATGTTTTGAACCGTGGAGCAACTCGGGGGACCACCACCTCTCATCTCTTAAGTGTGGACATTTGTTTGGGTATTCGTGTATTGATCGATGGGTTAAGGGTAAAGGGGCGAGATGCCCTCAGTGTAATGGTAAAGCCATGAAGAAAGACATTAGGGTGTTGTATGCGAACGCTCTCACAGCGCTGGATACATCGGAGAGAGATAGGGTGATGAAGGACTTACAAGCTGAGAGAAAGTTAAGGAAGAAGTTAGAGTTTGAACACACGAAAACAAAACTGTCGTTCAATCTCCAAATGCAAGAGTTGACAAAACTTCACGAAGAATTAAGATTGTTGAAGAACACTACGGCTCTTAACAGTTGCTCTATGGGGGTGACTCTATCTCAGAGTGGTGGAGGAAATTCTCAGAGAGAAATGAGATTGGTTATGCATTCTATTTTTGAGATCAGCAAGGATGGCGGGTGTCGGGTGATGGTGTTTAACGATTGGCTCAAAATGCTGTTGCTGTCGATGCCGAGTCAGGTGGCAATGTTTCCCGGATATGGCGTCAAGAAGTTAAATATGACCGACATGAAGACCGACAGGTTTGTGCCTCTCCATCAAAAGCAGATCAGGGACTTGGCCTTTAATCCAGCAAAAAATGATTTGCTTCTTTCTGTTGGGATGGACAAAAAGGTCAAACTAACAAACATGTCGAGTAACGCTCTCGTGGTCTCATACACTGCAGAATCTCCTCTGTGGTGTTGTTGCTGGAACACCGACGACGCTAATCAATTTTACGTCGGCACGGCAAGGGGCCGCGTGGTGCAGTACGACACTCGCAACACAGCGGGTCCTCATAGAACTATAACAGTGGTTGGCCTCGGCCCGGTAGTCTCCATGTGTTATGTGTCCAGTAAAAGTAACGCTAATTGTAACTTTAACACTCCGGGACTGATCGTGGCGAGGCTACAGTCCTGTTACTTCGTGGAGTTGAAGGACGACACAACACGAGATCACCAGCTGCCGCTCGAGGGCCCGTTTACTTCTGTCTCGCTGGAAGAAAAGACCAAGCACATTTTAGTGTCGTGTCGGCCTTGTCAAAAATATCCTCACGCACGGCATTTATTTTGCGCCCTTGAGAAAGTCAATTCCATTAATGATGATGGTTTCATGAGTCATAGTTTCACAGCAAATATAGTGTTTGAACTTCGGGGTGGCACAACTCAGAGGGTCCTCTCTCGCTCGTGCATAATTTCCAGTCCAGACGGAGATAATATAGCCTGTGCCGGCGATGAGTCCACCCAGAGCACGTGTTTGTGGGACCTGTCTAGCGGTAAGCCTGTACAGCAACTTAAAGGTATGGACACAGTTATAGATATTCTCCCAGTTAAAAGTCATGAAAATGTTTACTTAAGTTTACTAACGGAGAAAACTGTAAAATTTTATATGTGGGCTGATCAATTGTAGAGTAAACAGAGTACCTATATACTGTACAGTATTAGAGAGGATCCCATCCCTTACAATGGTCTTCTTATAAGTGTATATGTATTTAATATACAGTACAGTCGATCAATAACTATCTATTCTTGGGGGGTTGATTAATTCCAGAATGAACACTGTGACTCCTGTTGTCTCGGTAGGGTTGTCAAAATCCTTCATCCGTTGTGTCATATTTTTCAACACAACTTTGTAAGGATAGTTTTTGATCAACTGTACAGTAAATTTCACAGTAATTTATAAGATGTCTTCTTTCTTACTTTCTTTTATTGTGAAATACATCAGTAAGTAAAGTGTAAAGAAAAATATTTACAAACTTTTACAATACCCTTAATTGTATATACAGGGTGTCTAAAAAAACAAACAAAATTATGCACACTGCCACACAGATTTTCAGGGAGATTGGATAAATCCTTCCATCACAACAGCAACATTTTCTTCACATGTGGGAGACCTCACACATCAACAAGTGAGGACACTGTTACCAATGCAAACATTCACAAAAATCTGTCGAGCATTGTGTGTATTACATTTTTCCGAGACCCACTGTGGTACTGTACAGTATACGTATGTCTGTAATGTCTCAGAATTTACAATGTTTGGGACCAAAGCTGATTGTGCAAGAGTGAAGTTTGTAGTCAACTGTACCCTCCCTCCTCCAGTCAACTGTACCTTCCTTCCTCCAGTCAACTGTACCCTACCTCCTCCATAAATTATAGTTTGGCAGCAGGAAGATTTATTTTTCATTTCCTTGTACAGTGGTCCCTCGGTTAATGAACACAATTCGTTCCAGAAAGTTGTTCGTTAACCGAAACCATTGTTTCAATGGGATTTTGGGTAATTGGTTCCAGTTCACCGAAAATTACATACAAACTAAAAATAAATGCAGTAAAGTACACTTACTTTGAGGTGTGTGCATGTAGAAGGCTCCTGGTTGATGATGATGATGATGATGATGGGAATTAGAATGGGGATGGAGGAGAAGGCATTAGGGTGGAAGAGAAGTCACCCCACATTTCACCCATAAAATTTTAGTTCACTTTGTGTAATTCAAGATTATTTTCTTTAAATCAACACTGCACTGCATTATATATTGTCAATATGTAAAATAAACTTCAGAATGACCAATAATTGTACTGTAAAAACGTTAAAATAGTTTATGTTCAAGAGAGTCTCAAGCAAGAAGCTTCCTCCAATGAGCAGGGACACACACTGACGCCATTTTGGGTGAGTCAAGTGGCTGTTTGGTGCGCTAAAAACTAGTTCCCTGTACTTCAATTACTGTATAGGAAATGTTATCCCTCCAGGTCTTAATTTTTGTTGATAACTTGAATAATGTAAATACTATAACAGGTGTCTCGTCATACCAACGTTCGTGATATGAAAGTTTGCTAATAAGAATTTCCTAAAGTAACCCCTCTTTTTGTGTTACGAAAACCTCCCCGGCTTATATATATTTGGGTCCCGGCAATTATTTAAATCACGCTCCCCCGGGAGTCAGCTGGGGCGGCCACATCCCCCCAGCACATTTCCTACCTGGCTGAGGTAGGAGTTATGTTATGGTTATTTTATAACTCATAATTTGGGAAGGTAATTTTTTTTCCAGTTACATTTACACAGACAAAATCTTACTTCAGAGTGTGGAAACAAAATATCATAAGGTCCAAAACATAAAGGGAATAAACATTTCTTCGTGTGCCTACAAAAGTTTGTAGGATAAGCTGGGAGGAGTTATGGCTGTTTTTCAACCCATAATTTCAGATAGATAACTTATACTTTACTTTACTTTTTTTACTCAGTTTCATGCACACACAATCCTACATATATGGGTAGTGTTAAAAAAAGTCAAATAAACCTCTATTTATTTGAGGTATGACATTGGGGGTTTTCTTGTCACTGGGAACTGAAGCCTATTTTTCCATTATGTTCTTTTATTCACTCTATAAAAATTTATTTACTGAATGGTTTTCAGGAACCTAACTCATTTATAAAGTGAGAGACACTTATATGTAAAAGAACCAGGTGCAATAATTTACTTTACAAACTTCTTTTGTATTACTGTATTTGTTAATTATCGTTCTTTAAGGAGACAATTTTTTCTCAAAATTATATGGATATTATTCTTTTGTACAGCTTTTCTTAATTACAATAAAAATACTTCACTGTTGAACAGTACCTTATATTGTACAGTACTTTATATATCCTCTTGTTACTTTGAGGTTCTGCAAGTGTCCAGAACACAAAATAAAACTTTTTAATAAGAGACAAATGTGAATGTTCCTGTTATTACTCCCACTATACTGAAGTCTGTTCACTCAAACATTGCACTTGAAGCCTAGAGTCAGTTAGTAACAAGGCAGCTGGTGGATGGACACCTAAAGAGTCACTTTGGTTCTTCAGTATTTAATATATTGTATTTATATTCTGATATTTTAAGGGATAATAACTACCTGTATACAGTAAACTCTTGTTATTCGCGACGGATAGGTTCCAAGAAATGGCTCGAATTGACAAAACCGCGAATAGCAACTTATATTACCTCAGTGCACTACTACTACCGTCATCCCCTCTTTAAAACTTATCTAATAATAAAACTTTCTTTGTCAGGGTCATCACTGACTTCTGTCTTTTACATTTAACTCCACAAGCATCACTAGCACTGACACTAGGCAATCTTTTAGGGGCCATTTCACACAGAAACACTAAAGTTTTGAGAGTACAACACGAGATACTGTGTGGGGTGACTCGTTGTGCTGTGGGAAAAGGCTTGCAAGCTAGCCACCATCTACCTCCCGCGAATAGTCGAAATTGCGAATAGTCAACTAGCAAATGGCAAGGGTCTATTGTACTGTGTTCTCATAATTTCTACACTTGGTGAAGTAAAAATGATCTTATGAAATGCTCTGGTAATATAAATACTATAAAGGGAACACAAACATGATGAACAAGTTCCAAGACATCAAACCTTCATCACCGCCACGTCATGCAGTGTGGTAGAGATCTCGTTCAGTTTTCGTCAGCTAAGTCATGTGTACGCCTGTACGGTGTTGTCAACTTATCTGTCAAATATTTGATTGATGAGGGGTAGAAATTGATGATGTGAAGTGTTTTGACCAAGTTAATAACCTGAAGCAGTTTGTGGAAAATTACAAGAGTGGTGAAGAATTTAGTAATCTGCCAACATAAAAAGTGGACCAGATACTTTGAAAAATCAAAGAACATTGAATGCCACTCAGAATTGCTAAGAATTGCACAATTCTTCTTTGCTATATCATCTCACAATGCAAATGTAGAAAGAGTTTTTCACTGATACAAAGTCAACAGACAAAGGAAAGGAACAAATTGAGTGTTGAAACAATGAAAGGCACTCTGACTGTACAGTACAACTTCCGTGAAACACCTTGCAGTGACTTCTATACCTTTCTAAAGAGCAATCAGCCAATACTGAAAAAGATCCGGTCTACAGAAAAGTATGCATGGGCACATCAAGTCTCACACACAGTGGGGGAAGAAGACTGCAGCTAAGGGAATGAAGATGTTCAGCCTTAAGCAAAGGTAATTTTTATATTATTTTTAAGATTTCTATACCATGTATGTTGTATATTAACCTACATTAAAAACACAATGCAATACAGTACACCGATACTGGTGTATATATATATATATATATATATATATATATATATATATATATATATATATATATATATATATATATATAATGCTATGCAAATATGCAAAAATTATCAAGGCTGCTTCAAGGTTACATAGCGCCAAAGTGTGTGCAGGAAGTCTTCGGGAACGTCCTCTTTTTTTAATGTTCAGATATGGCAACCCTAACTTATCACCCACAATATTTATAAGGTTAAAAATCTTTTCGTCTGCCTAGGATTCATACAGAAATGATGTAGTCATTTCTTGACTGCCATCTTGTTGGACCCGAAGGTTTTGCACCATACGGTATATTGGCCAGTTGAAGCCAGGCCATTGTAACATTAATAACTGTTTTCATTAAATTGTTTCCCGAGACAAAGGTGACTGACTTTAGTTAATAAATGAAAGGTAATTGACTCTTTTTGTTAATAAATAGTAGATATTTTATTCTTTAGTTAATAAATAGAAGGTAATTGACTAGAGTTAATTAATGGAAGGAATATTTTTCGAGGAGCTGTTACCAGATGAAGGGAACTTGCTGTGCTCACTAGTCAAGTTAAAGATAAGAAAATTAATTTGATGATTGAAGAAATGAATTAAATGATGACTGAAGAAAATGAAATAGAAAGAAAGGAACACATATCCTGAATGCTGTATGTACCATCAAAGATTTGGCCCCCTTCATTATAATGTCACTATTAATATTTGACTAACACCTGACTCTTTTATCCAGCAGAGAGAGAGAGCCGTCGTATCTAAGAGGTTAAATCGAGTGCATGCAGCGAGGAGTTTCTGTTATTATCCCCCATCCATAGTTATATGATCAAAGAATCTAATTTTTATTTTTTGTACATTTCAAATATTTATCTTGAAGTTTTTGCTTATCTTAGTACAGCTGTTTAAAAGACATTGAAAGTATAAAGTGAAATATAGACAGTTAATATAACCGAAGAACAAGGCGAACAAATGCTTAAATAACCACAAATCGGTGTATCCATGGCGAACGGTGGAGGCGCCGACAGACTACAGGTAAATTAAGGAATATCTAAGAAGGAAAAGTCATTAACACACCAGCAACAGTGCCACCTGTTACTGAGGGAGTATAACTAACCTTATTAGATATTCCTTGGTGTGAACAAGCGTCTCGTGGTTGTCAACTTCTCGGAGCTCGTGACGTCACTACACAACAGCACTTGGTCAGTGTTTATTGCAATTTGAAAATAGTGGTGATATAACTTTCCATCGCTGTCCGAAGGCTACAGAATAGAGAAGGTGGATACACTTGTGCAAGAGGAAGGACTTCAACAGAAAAATCCTCAAACCATCAACCAATTCCCTCCCATTGTTCACTGAAAAATTCCTACAGAATTGCATCGTCTTCAGCGCGGTAAACTAAAATTATCCATCTATAATAAATAAGAACCTAACGGCACCAATATATTTACCTGAAGAATAAATTAAATCACTTGAATAAATCGGAAATAAGACATACCGTAAATATGAAGAAGAGACTGTTGGTGTTAAGCTGATCAGTGATTAATAACAACAACAGACTCACATACCTTCTCCCGCCTCTGCTGTCTCTTAGCCACTGATTGGCTCGTTAGCCGCTTACGTCGCTGTTGGCAAGAACTGTACTGGGCAGGCACTGGCTCCAGTGTTGGTCAAGTCTGGTCTTGAAACAGCTCACACTTGGTGCCGTCACAGGTTGTTCCAGTAGTTTACAATTTTTATTCCGACTTTTTTTCCCTCACAGGCTTCTTCAACCGTAGACCTGTGAGCCGAGTGGGGCGGGCGGGCGTCCGCCAGATCCAGGTATGGAGTCCATACCTGGATCTGAGTAGTGTCCTCTGAGATGTTTATACTCCTCCCTTGCCTGTCGTCTATAGTATAAGCTTGGCAGCTGCAGGCGTTCTCATCTCCATAGGTAACCCATTTGCCGTGTAGTGCAGGCACCAGTCTGGTGGCCTCCTCTGGACATTTCAATCAACTGAGTCTCTAACATATCTCGGGGACCAGACGAGGTTACAGTACAACTCGACTGTTGACGAAACATGCCTGCCAACATTACTGATATACTCAAATTATAGTACAGTATAGTATAAAAATTCTTAAATTTTAACACATGTATTTCTAAGAATACTTTTCATATCAATAAAAAGGTTTAATTCAGAAAACATTACTTGGGAATATATAGACGAATTACTTCCCGGGATACAATAATGTAATAACTACCTTATTGAGTTGTTACCGGTGATTAGTAATAGATACAAAATGGAAGGGTAATATAAAAATATAGATAGGTAGACAGATACATATTTATAGATGTAGCCTATAGGTAGATGGATACAAATGTATAGATGGATAGTGAATGTTTTAATCGTATTATCTGTTATAATATCAAGGCCTCAACTGCTATTTTTCCTACATTCAGCCACCACCAATCTTTTCTCACATTTCCACCACAACTTGGTTTAGCAAGTGACATGCTTGGTATGCATGAACTCACTGTAGTAGATTTTTAAGCATAATTATAACTGTCAATAACTTCCATGGCAGTAGACGGAAAAAACAATCATCCCGACCGGTCTGCCCTACCGAGGTCAGAGCTTTCCACTTTACAGTATCTGTTTTGTTCTAATTTACGCTTATAAATAAGAATATTAACGAATATTATGTAGTGTTTATAATTATGTGTCGGTAATGTACTAAGCAAATTATGTAGTTTTCCAAATATCATACTAGTTATCAAAAATTGAAAGAACCCACAATTAGTTTGCAACAATAAAGAGAGTATTTCTAAAAATTGCTAAATTAACTAAATATAAAATAATGCAGAGCAAATTTTGATAACAAGCGGCTTACCACAAGTGACTGTTGTGGGAACGTAAAGGGATAAATATTCCACTTAATAACTTGTAATACCATACAATCATACACATATTCTGAACATGGACTGCGGGAAAAAAGAACATTTCTAATTTCCCAGGGAGGTGCAAGAGCACTCCCTGGCATGTGTGTAAACTCATGCCATTACAACTAGGCTAACATTCTACCTCCACTTAGTACTGTTATAATACAAATATAATTAAGGCGTATACATAAATTACGTATGTTGACTAGCTAATAAAATGTGCATGTGCCAAACCTAACTTATCCTAATCTAACTTAACTCAATCCGCTCTAACCTTAACAAACCTAATTTAATTTAACCTTCCCTAACATATCCTAAACTAATCCAGCCAAACCAACCTATTTGTACAGTACTAAGGTTTCTCATATTCATCACCCATTTATTTTAATAAGTTTTTGCTAATAGTCTCTAACGTAAACTCAATTTTGCAAAAAATGACTAAAGTTCCATTATATGAAATTTTTTTAATTCAAATTTAAGTAGTTAAGGTTAATTTCTTTAATATAATACGGTTCTGAATTAACTACATAATAATTATTGTATACATAAATAACAACAGTAATAATAATAAACATTATTTATATTATTGCCACCAACAGAATTTCATCTTTGCAATCAATAGTTTAAACAATTCTAAGACATTTTCTTTTATGACGTTTCCCTCGAAAATGACCTATATTATTATTAACCTTTTAATTAAAGTGATACTATTTAAATTCAAAGTCATTTAATTCCTGCATTTAATTTCCTTCAAGGTCATTTAAGTCCCGCGTTAACCTGTTTATTTACTGTTGATATAAGAAAACGGAACCTTTACATGGGGTAACTTATTTACTTTTTATTCCGGTTGTAGGACAGCAATTATTTTAAGTAAAGATATGTTTTTTTTGTATACCACGGAAATAAATTATAAAATAGGTTTTAATAGAGTTTTTTGTGTTGTTTGAAACGAATCTGACCTTCACTTCCACCATAAATGAGGCGTTATGGAGATATGACCCCCCCAAATACAAACATTGGTTGTTCAATATGGGCAGGGCTTTGAAGCATTGTGAAAATGTGAGGTAAAATATTAAAAAAGAACACCAAACAAACCTGACCTAACCTGTAAAAATCCTTAAACTATAAAAAGTTGACCTTTTTCGTGTTTTCGGTCTTTGTATATATTTGTTTTCGGTGTTCATGATGAGTCCCATGAACTCGAAAGTAATTCTCAACCTTTTTACAATTAAGGAAATAACAAAACAAATGGCGAAAATAGGGTTTAACTCCCCAACAATTAAACCCCAATACCATACCAAGATTATACAATTGTTTCATGAGCACCCAAAAACCTACCTAACTACATACTGTAAATTAGTAAACTACTGGACGGTAACTGCCAACCTAATACGTCAAATATACTCTTACAGTTGGTGCAGTGAGCCAATTTGAATTTTCTCTCTGACCATCTTTTGGGTAATCGAGGTTTGCTTTTGCAGTGAGGAAAAGATGCAAGAATAAAGTTACCAGATAAACCCACATTCTGATAACCAGTGATACCTGTACTGGTAATCGTTTCCTAATATACTGTTCTGGTATTCAAATTTTGTTTCTATTTCTGCTTAATTGATGTTTATTTCCATTACAGTACTGTTTTTATTGTAGGTATAAGATTTCTTGCCTCTTGTATACTGTACATCACCGTATTCAGTCCTGCCCACTTTTCCATGGTAATGATACTGTACCAGCTTGAAGTTTATGGTTACAATGTAGCTACAGTACTGCTGGAGGTTTATAGAACACAAGTTAAAGTACAGCTGCCCTAAATCCATCTAAGGTATACTGTACTCTATGTGTGACTAAAGCTGTTTTGTCATGTACGAACTCTATCTTACTTGATGTCTGAAAACCCCAGCTTGACTGATAGTTTGTATAAGGAATGTGATCATATTTTACCTTGCTTCATAATACATTAAGCTTGGCAGTTTGAGGGGCCAGTGTTCTACCTGTGTTTTAAGTGTAACCGATGAGTGGTGCGATTAACTCCAAGTCTGGATTAGAAAAACTCTTAAAACACACTGGTAAATAATTAAAGACAGTTAACCACTACAACAGGTACTCACAATGTGTTGAGAGATGGCAAAAAGTTTTAGAGGGTTAGAATTTTGATTATTACACGAGGCATACTGTAAATTTCTTAACATTGTTGGACACTGAAGCATACCATAGATTTTTAACATGGTAATAATGGTGGTGGACTATACAGCTAAACTACACAAAATTCAAGATAACTTTTGAAATAATCTCAAACTTCATGTCTGCTTAATTTAACTTCTCACTTTCTCCTCTTTAAATACTACCAAATAATTCTGATATCTGACTCAAATTCTTTATCTACCATACACTCAGTATTAACCTGACCCCCCCCCCCCCAACCCGAATTAATAATACGTACTGTACCAAGAGTTTTAAACATTCATACACAAGTAGCTGACATAATGTAATGTACTATACTCTTGTGCTTATTTCAGTCATAGTAATGTGATGTGTCTTTAATCTCACACAAGACACAAATTCCATTATATTTCCTCTAAACCTATATTTTTCTTTAACTTAGCTCATTTGTGGTTTGAATCGTAGTTTCGTCAATGTTCACAGAAAACCCTCAAGATTGGCAGAGAAGATAAATGTAGTCAACCAATAAAGTCTGATCTTTCTAACTCTTCCTCAGATTCAACTGGCAGGGCTGCCTCACTCGCATACAGGAGACACCTACCTTTGTGTCACTATGTCTCCAATTATAATCTTGTCCACCATTCTTGTTGTTCACCTCTACACAAACAGTAAATAAACAAGGTGACTCGAGAGCACCTCTGGTCCATAGCCGAGTTACTCATCCTGGTGGGTGTACATTTCCTCGCCGGTCTATGGAATACCGAGTTAGATTTATTAAATTTTGATAATACAGTAATGTCTTTATTTTGGAGGCGATGGAGCCTAGGTTAGGTTTATGATGAAAGTGACAAATTATCATAAAACCTGTACCCTCAATTCTCCCTCTCTCACACACTCTCTACCTCCACTGTAAATTCTTTTGCAAACATTCCATAGTTAACATTCCTCACAAGGTCTTCCTACAACTCTCATATACTTTTTCTAAAAACATAGCTTATATTTCTTCCCTCCTTGGTTCTCTCTATCACTGACACATAAATATTTGATCAATACATCTCTCAACCTTTATTGCAATTATTTTAACTGACTTTTTGTGTGGGGAGGTGAGCCACTCTTCCTCAAGTCCTGGGGTACAGAGGTTCTTGTACCAGGTATATGACCCAATAAGGACTTAAACACCAAGAACACTCAACTTTTATTTAGCATCTGTACACATAAACTATTAATTACAGGTATTTGTGTGGGAACGCTGGCAAAACTAAACTGCTAACAATTAATTTTTTTTCCTCAATGACTAACCCAAAAATAAAAACATTGGACCAATTTTTAAAGTTAAGTTTTATTTTCATGTGTGTGGACATAGCCTTCTTAATTAGAATTATGTACAACTTCATACACACCTCGTCGTCATCACAATACAGAACCATTGCACAACAAGGCTGGCCAGAGTCCGAGGCCCATCTTCCTGCAGCTACCACGTGCAGGACTTTTTTTAGCCTGACCAAAATTTGCTTCACTATTATGGGATCTTAGTCATAAATATCCTCCTTGTCTGCCACGTATCGGATGATGTCAGCCGGTCGTAAGAGTTTCTCTGCATCACCGTCTGGGATTTCAAAACCTGTCGGATGTAAAAAATTACTCGATTACTCTGAAAAAACTACATTTATTGACATTAATTCATACTAAAACACTCCCTTATATCTCAAAATAAAAGTTTGACAAATACATCAGGATAATAAGAAGTTGCCACTCATGTACACCCATAAAATATATTGAAATTTTCCTCTTATGTTCTCAGTTTTACTACATTTAAAGTCCACTATCAAGAAACAGTAAAACATTCAGAACCAGGAATAATGTGAGCTGGGTATACTGTACCGTCTCTCTCATAGGTCACACTGAATAGAAAAATGAAAGTTCTTGTCATTTTTTCTTTCCAGGTGAGGGAAACATAACTAATCAATAAAAATGGCCAAAAAATTAACAGTGGAGGAAAGAATCAATTTAGCATTCACGTATGGCGACCAGATCCATATTTTGGTGTTGACAAAGAGATTAACCTGTGTATAGGACCTGGCTTCCCACACACGAGTATTAAATCATCTCTTTCTTCTATGTTAATTTCTATGTCATCTATGCCTTAATAAATTTATTCTTAACTTTATTTTTTAACCTTCCCTTCATGATCAAAGATGTACTGAGAGCCTATATATATATATAACCATGACACAGGTACTTTGTCACATTCTGGAGACTGATGTAATGTTACTACTGTACTGAGATTCAGACTCTTGAACCTGAAGCAATATACCAATACATTATTCTGTCCATAAATGCTTCAGATTCATGAGTCAATCTCAGGATTCGTGGTTCAGGGAGAGAGGCAAACGAACTTTAGTAGTTGACTTTACTGTACCTAGTTTTCTCCTATTGACTGACTGCTGACAGAAATGGTTATCCACATAATCTTAGCTTCTTCATATGACAAACAGCTGAGAAAAATGGTTGCCAGAATAACTATTTAAAAATCTTTCTATTTTCTCTGACCAGCAGCTCCAACAGTATACCCCAGGGGAGCATTTATATACCTATACAATAAGATCAAAGAACTACAGCGGAACCTCTATTTAAAAGACGACATGGAGAAGAAAGTTTGTTATATCGAGGGTCCGCTAGATGTAAAACCCCCATCTAACGAACTATATAGAGAAGAAAATCCATTATATTGAGGGTCCACTAGATGTAAAACCCCCACAAGATGGATTATATGGAAAGAAGTCAATACACACCAAACTCGTCCTCCATGGCCATGATAACTTCCACGTGGTCTAGGGAATCAAGGCCCAGGTCTTGCATAAAGTGGGACTCGACTGTCAACTGAGACAAAGATAAATTAGTTATTATCTCCAAACTCTGACTTATATCATCTAAGAATACACTAAAATAAACTCAACTAAATAAAACTATATGTTAAACCATTAATCAAGGAAACTCACTAAAATTAATTATATGTGAGGCTATTATTTTATACACAAATAAACCTCAACTAATAAGACATACAGTATATCATGCAATTATATTTCAATTATGCCAAGGAAACTAATAAACCTCAACTAATAAGAATTATATATCATGCAATTATATTTCAATTATGCCAAGGAATCTATGATGTAATTATAATGTTTTTGGTAGTTTTAAAAAATAAGCGAGACATTATACCTTATCAGAGTTGACTTTATCGTAGAGCCTGAGGACTAGCAAGACTCTCTGCTGGATCATGTCGAGCGTCAGAGGTTCCTTGGCACTGTAACTACGAACGCTTCCTGAGGTCTGAAAGTAGAAAATCAAACTACAGTATTGAGAGGCTATAGTAAAATGACATTCAACATGGGGAAGGAGGGGGAGGGGTAGGAGAAAGAATTATGAGGAGAGAAAAGTGCCACAAGTGGACAGGAAATGCTGGGAGAGTCATTGACCCAGGTGGACAGAAAATGCTGGGAGAGTCATTGACCCAGGTGGACAGAAAATGCTGGGAGAGTCATTGACCCAGGTGGACAGAAAATGCTGAGAAGTCTAAAAGAGTTTTGCCATCATTACCTCCACCTCTTCACACAGAGGATTGTACAACTGGCAGATCTTCATCACCCTCTCTGTTATGTCCGTCTCTGTAACTCTTTGACCGTATCTACGTGGACATTGTCGTCTTATCTGCTTTTATTAAGAGACCTTGTTTTTATACATAATATATACACTAATATAATAAAGATATATTTAAATGCTCCCACAATACAAACTCAACCAGGTTATACACCGTTTACAAAATTCTGGGATAAAAACACATAGCAAGAAATTCCTGAACTGACTTTGTAAATTGAGTTAATTAAATACATACTGTATAGTTAATGATTTCTATTTACCATATCACCAATTATCAGCTTACTAGCCATCCTAACTAGCCAATACTGAGACAAACAATTAAAAATACAATACTGTACACTACTGAAATAAAAGGAAAAATAAACAATTATCTTGGTGTTAATAATTGAAAAACTCATCCAGTAAGGTTATAACAGATACCGAGTCATGAAGAAAAACACAATGTTGACTGAAGTACAACTGACACTGTAATGGTTCAAGCTATACAGAGAAGAACAAAACTGTCTAAACCAACTATAGGAGCCTTAATTAATACAGTATAAATATTCTGATTTTGGTGGAGTATTTCTTATTTTATTGTTGTTTATATTTTAAAATTTACCATCAGTTTTTAACATATGTACAGTGGAGGTAAATATTCTATTATTTAAACCCTTCACTTTGGGGATGCCATATTTAATGTTTAATTTCGTCGTTGCTAAATGATTTATTAAATTTAGAATGGAGTGCAAACACATGGGGATAATTCACAATAAAAAAAAAAATATTTATGGATTCACACCTTCATATTTGGGGATATTTCAATATTTCTTTCTGTGGATAATAATATTCATAAATCAAAGACAGTTTATAGAAAATCAACATTCATCTACCACCTTTTTTTGCTTAAAGTGATGATGCCATGTGAACGGCTCCTGCATATATTGTATCATTAATCCGAGATAACATGAACCGACCTAACAAGAAGAAATTACCTAATACCTTTTTAATCTACAATAGGCAAGTTAGGTTAGGTAGGGTAGGTTACGTAGATGATCTGTATGACGAAAAAGTATGAGACACAAAAATATAAAAATTAAAATTCCTAAACTTGTGGCTTCAAAAAAGGTGATTGAGGTGGGCACGAACGGTTACTCACAAGAGGAGGTGGGCACGAACGGTTACTCACAAGAGACTGATAATATATATAAGGGGAACACTTTCTTTACACATGAAATCCCCATAAATGATGAAGCTACTCACTCAAAAGTACTGTATCAATTTTTATCATTACAAATTTCTACCTAACCTAACCAATGTCTATCTAACCTAACCAATTTCTATCTAACTTAATCAATTTCTACCTAACCTAACCAATTTCTATCTAACCTAACCAATTTCTATCTAACTTAATCAATTTCTACATAACCTAACCAATTTCTACCTTACATAACCAATTTCTATCTAACCTAACCAATTTCTACCTAACCTAACCAATTTCTATCTAACCTAACCAATTTCTACCTTACATAACCAATTTCTACCTAACCTAACCAATTTCTACCTAACTAATCTAAAATATATATAACAAGTGGGTTCCTCTTCAATCTGATTCAGTATATACCGAGACTGTATTATACAAGACGACGTTACGGCTGGGATCAAGTTTAGGAAGTGGTCACATGAATTAAGTGAAACATTACACACATACACAGTGCATCACCGTGGTTTACTATTTACAATGAAAAAAAAATCGCAAAAAAACCCCCAAAATAATAATAAAAATTAATTCCTCGTCACTTTGCGGGATTTTCATGAGGTACGTAAACTATGTCTCCTACAGAAAAATCTCCTAAAATTCCTGGTTAATGTGTGATACCGTACTCTCCAAATGTTACTGCAGGAATAAACTATTTAGAAATGTAAAACTGAGTACTATATAGGTACTCAGTGGTTCATTGCTGCTAAAACAAATAAACTAATGAGTACTGTAAAAATGAGTACTATACAGGTACTTACTGGTTCATTACAACTAAAACACTGCAATTAATGAAATCTGTGCCACAAGAAATATGATTAATATTAAGTTAGTTTTAATGCTCTAAGACCCCCAGCTTTACCTCATGTGCTACAACAATATTTACTGATAATGTTGGTTCCTTAATGTTTAACTAAGACTCTAATAAAATACCACAGTGACCAAACCACAGCCTCTACCACATTAATGATAATAATACAATACTTATACTATCTTAATTAACAATAATAATACATATTTCATCATCAAAACGCATTAAATATAAAAGTATTTCATTATAATCACGCCGGCGAGGTTCAACATACCTGGTGCTGTACTGCTGTTAACAGGTTACTTCTACTCAATCTATCATTCCTCGCCTTCATACTGTACAGACATCCTACTGGTGTAACTCTGGGGATTCTTGCAGCCAATACGGAAGGTCTGATGAGAGCAGTAAAGAGCCGAGATCGAGTTAGTGAAGCCATTTTAGTGGTGGTGTACAGCTGCTGTGATGGTCCACCGCTGAGTGAGGCAGGAGACCCAACAGCTGCCTCCCTTAACACCAACCTGGCAGCCTCTCCCAGCTCCATGTCTTCATTCTGTAATAATAATAATATGTATTCAGTCAAATTATATCATACATGAAGGTATACTGTACATTTCAGCATTAATATACTCAATGCAGGCACACAATACAATGTAAGTTACATTGGTTGTGGAAATATACCGTAAAATGAAGTACTAACATGTAAATCAATACCACAGAATTTATTTTTTTTCGATACCACTTTTAATGACTACTGACTGTTGATATTGTACTGTGTTGAAGAAAAAGTCCAAAGTTACATTAATAACGTAAGGAAGTACAGTATATGCCTCAACTCTTTACCACTGGTGTAAGAACTTCCACTGTCGACATAGGAAACAATATACTGTACTTCTAGACTCAAAATAAACTGTATATCTGCATAGTTTATAATACAATACATTCCTATTATTGTAGTATGATAATTTTTCTAACTCAAAGGTTTTCTCATTACCTGTCAGGCTTTTACTACCTTAATCATACACCTGTTGTACTCACCATGTTAATAGTGTATATATCATAAATAAGTGTTGCTAATACTTCCTGTGCTTTCTTAAGTTAACATAAATATCATATGAGCTTTAGATGAACCTGTCCCATAGCCTGGCAACTTAGGCAAGTGCTTTATTTTACTTACTTCTACGGGACATTGTTGTATAGATAATTCATACGGAACATTAATTAAATGAAATATATATACAATTAAGCAAATGAAACACTCAAACTTATTAAGAACACATAATAATTGAACTATAGAATATGAAGCACATTTTATGATAGTTCCCCCGTCAATGTCGCGTAGTTTAGATTTTATTTAATAGATGGCGCTGATGTTAGTATGCACTATACTGTATTGTTTCCTATATAGTATATATCTACGTTATTTTCTTCTCGATATTATCAAGATTAATGTTAAACACCAACAATACTGTCTAAGTTCATCGTTTATATACCTGTAGTGTCTGGATATTATTTATATACCTCCACTGTCTAGGTACACTATACCTCCACTGTCTAGGTACACTATACCTTCACTGTCTAGGTACACTATACCTTCACTGTCTAGGTACACTATACCTTCACTGTCTAGGTATACCTGTGGAAATGGTATATCTACACGGACTATTTACCCAATACCTACATTGTCTATATGCAAGCTAAACTGTTTACCGGCATTGTCTCTATACATACTGAACCAATGACAAACTTTATGAGATAGTTTTACGGAATATCTGTCTATCTCTCTCGCTAATTCTCTCTCTGTGTGTTTCTCTCTCTCTTTATTCTGTCTATATATTTATCAACAACAGTGAATGTATGTAATGTATGAATGAGTTGTATGTAATGTATGAATGAGTTGTATGTAATGTATGAATGAGTTGTATGAGATGTATGAATGAGTTGTATGAGATGTATGTATGAAAAAGAGTTCTCACGTGTTTAACGATGAGAGAAGTTCATGCTTATTTTGTTCATCTTACAAGAAGTGAACTCCTACAAGACAGTGAATCTTCCTACAAGACAGTGAACCTTCCTACAAGACAGTGAACCTTCCTTCAAGACAGTGAGCCTTCCTACAAGACAGTGAACCTTCCTACAAGACAGTGAACCTTCCTACAAGACAGTGAACCTTCCTACAAGACAGTGAACCTTCCTACAAGACAGTGAACCTTCCTACAAGACAGTGAACCTTCCTACAAGACAGTGAACCTTCCTACAAGACAGTGAACCTTCCTACAAGACAGTGAACCTTCCTACAAGACAGACAGTGAACCTTCCTACAAGGACAGTGAACCTTCCTACAAGACAGTGAACCTTCCTACAAGACAGTGAACCTTCCTACAAGACAGTGAACCTTCCTACAAGACAGTGAGCCTCCTCAAGACAGTGAACCTTCCTAAGACAGTGAACCTTCCTTCAGTGAGACCTTCCTACAAGACAGTGAACCTTCCTACAAGACAGAAAGTGAACTTTCCTACAAGATACAGTGAACCTTCCTACAAGACAGTGAACCTTCCTACAAGACAGTGAACCTTCCTACAAGACAGTGAACCTTCCTACAAGACAGTGAACCTTCCTTCAAGACAGTGAACCTTCCTACAAGACAGTGAGCCTTCCTACAAGACAGTGAACCTTCCTACAAGACAGTGAACCTTCCTACAAGACAGTGAACCTTCCTACAAGACAGTGAACCTTCCTACAAGACAGTGAACCTTCCTACAGGACAGTGAACCTTCCTACAAGGCAGTGAACCTTCCTACAAGACAGTGAACCTTCCTACAAGACAGTGAACCTTCCTACAAGACAGTGAGCCCTCCTGCAAGACAGTGAACCTTCCTTCAAGACAGTGAACCTTCCTACAAGCATACACAGTGAACCTTCCTACAAGACAGTGAACCTTCCTACAAGACAGTGAACCTTCCTACAAGACAGTGAACCTTTCCTTCAAGATACACAGTGAACCTTCCTACAAGACAGTGAACCTTCCTACAAGACAGCCCTCCTGCAAGACAGTGAACCTTCCTTCAAGACAGTGAACCTTCCTACAAGACAGTGAGCCCTCCTGCAAGACAGTGAACCTTCCTTCAAGACAGTGAACCTTCCTACAAGACAGTGAGCCCTCCTGCAAGACAGTGAACCTTCCTTCAAGACAGTGAACCTTCCTACAAGACAGTGAGCCCTCCTGCAAGACAGTGAACCTTCCTACAAGACTGAGCCACTCAGTCTTTGAATATTCGTGCCGATCAAATATTTGTTCTAAACATTGTGATAATCTTCCTTCTCATCTTGTTCATCCGAAATTCAGAGTAAAATGTCTTCTTATTTGACTTACCTGGGAGTTCAACGCTTTTAAAATAAAATATACCCGTTTCAAACACCTGGAGATTATCTTTGAATATTCTTACTCATTTTTGGTATAGTTGTCATATGAAGGCGTAAGGGTGTGTCAGTACATTTGTTTTGGTATATAAAGGACAATTAAAATAGCTTGTTTATAAAATATTTATTTCAAAAGGTAACATATGTTTTCGCTTTAGTGCAAAAGGTTTTTGAGGGTCAGCAGTTTTAAACTTAACCATATTTCCTGCGACAACACTTAACTATAATTTTTCCCGTGACTACACGCTGTTACCTCGTATTCTGCCGGCTCTCCCCGTCACCCATACCACACACCCCTTCACACAATACTGAAGTGTAATCACAGACTGAATATCACACAGTCAAGGATAAATGTTATTTTTTAATACGTACTTTATTTTGTACATTATTTTGGGGATACTAGCTGGTGAAGCGAGGCTTGGAACACATGAGGTGACTAGGATAGCATAACTTGACCACAAAACATTAAGTAGCTGGCAGTATTTTTTTCATGTTTGAATTTATTTTTTGTAACTGTCCTTTAATTTATGAGGATATAAAAGACGGAATTAATGATATATATATATATATATATATATATATATATATATATATATATATATATATATATATATATATATATATATATATATACTAATAGTGAATGGTGTGGGTGGGTGGGTGAGGGCGTGAGTGAGAGCAACAGCAACAGCCTAGCCAACAACTCTAGGCTGGGCGGACAACCCCTTGAAACTAGTGAAGTTGTGCGTTAATACAGGTTGTACTCTGAGCAGTTACATCACCAACACTCGCTCACTAACCCTACTTGTAATCACACAGTCCTTGTACAAAGTTCTCACAGGTTCCGTAATATCTTGTATTGCGTCATTGCTGGAGGGTTTCAGCGGCTAATTTCTCCAGTGGGTCTTGATATGTATGGCTAAAGCCGCGAATCAATAACCAAATAATTTCAAGGGATCAACACTGCAAACATAATTATTCCAAGCTTATCAAAGAACGGAAATAATGAAGTATTAATAGTATTTGGAAAAGCGATAATTATTGATCAAACTTCCCTAGTCCAATGAATAAAATAACGTTGCTTCCCAAAATAAGCGACCATAGCCACGTGGACTATTCCCTGGGTGTCTGCCTCGACGCTTCCTTTGCCATTCAAGCATCTGCCCCAGTTTTCTCACACACTTCCCCTCTCTTATTACCAAGACGTAGGTTAGGTTAAGTTAGGTAAATTTGCGTCTCATGAAATATATTTAAATTAAGCAGCAATTACTTCCCTAAAGCTAGGATATTAAACTTAGGGCTATTAAAGGGTTAAAGATCGTGCAAGAAAACCCTGGATCTTGGTAAATGCCGAGACAGGAGACACAACACAGATTAAATCGATAAAGCCCAGGAATTTCTCAATGCTGGATCCGTCGAGTCAGTGTTACAGCTTAGGTGGTCAACGTGGATGCTGTTGTAACCACTATCATTCCATAAAATACTTCATCTAATACTCCCTTCATAAGCATGGAAGAATTATGTTCATAGCGTTCACAAAAGAAGGTTAATTTCCACAATCAATTACATTCCCATACTTCAATGACGGTCATATAATGTCAGCCATTCACCGAAAAACAAAACTAAACTGTATTGACTGGTTACCGCCCTACCAAAACCTTCAAAAATGTCTCTCAACATATTTTTACAACGTGTTTACAATTGTGGTCGTTTTTAATCTATCACCGTAAGTAAGTTTACAATACCATGAGTGTATAATGATGTTGAGAGTTGATGGTTTGTTGAGGACCCGCCTCCGTCCATCTTGGCCTCTCGTGGAAATATTCAATCTCCACTCATTGTGTGTGTGTGTGTGTGTGTGTGTGTGTGTGTGTGTGTGTGTCAGTTTTTCGTGTGTGTATCCATGAGCCTTCCATTCCTCTACAGTGTATGTATATGTAAATCACTTCTGTATGTGCATAAGTAGATACAACTGTAAACTAACCAATATGAGTCTTATACTAAACCGAATCACACGTCTCGCTTCAATTCTATTCTCATTTACTGTTTCCTATAACTACAGCAGTCTGGCTTACTAACACAGGTCGGCAGGTGATGGTGAAGAACAGAGACCCGTGAGTGTTCCCCTGTTATCTCAAGTCACAGATAAACACAGTCACGTTACTTCCCCTTTCATGGCTCTTGGTAGCAACATTATCAAGATCTAAGCCTGCTTTAGCAATGTGGGAGCGTGATTATAACACGATCAAGTATCAGGCACAACGTAAATGCTCGCAGTGACCACCCAAAAAAAAAAAAAAAATTCACAGGCATTCGCTGCCAAATGGGAGCTGCCACCCGTTCCACCTTCGTTGAGTGAGCGTTGAAAAATAAACTACCAAAAGTGAATATTCCTTCTCATCGTGACACATCTAAGCTAGAATCTTCAATACTGATGACATGTAGATTATACATATCCATAAAAATGACGGATATGGGAGCCTTAACGGCATAATAACAGCAAAAGAAGCAAGCTAAGACGGGGTAAGGTGCGGCTGCTGCTACAGTGCGCTTGGTAAACTCCTCTTACTGCATGGGTTATGTTATGGCGTTATAGTGGTGTTATTTTCTTCCTCTATATGCTCAAAATAATGTAAATTAGAAATAAGTCAGAGATCATGCCGCTAAAGGCTCTGAATCACTATATGCATATTGTTCGAGTATGTTTCTCCCCGAAATAAACACAATATTCTTAGCAGGTTACTACGCTTAGTTTCAACTCATCAATGTATGTTATATATTTTTCTTTGCATTTCATTTCTTTTATGTAAGTTATCTGACACAAAACTCTCGATGAAGTATTTTTTCACACGTTAACAATCACACGAGAAATTCGTTATTCTTAAATAGTAGAATACACGAAGTTGAAAGACCTACAAAATCTCTAGTTAAGTTTGGTTAATACTAGATAAACACACATACGCAAACACAAACATTCGTACAGACAGATTCACAAACAAATATCACACACATGACCGTATAGAGTAACACACAAACACATACACATACACACACACACACACCAAGATACATACAGACATTTCTCCATACAGACTCAAAATACACACGCACTTTTCTCTGTAAATTTCTATTCACACAATGAATCACAAACATTCATACAGATTCCTTAAAAAAAAATATATACTAGATATGACTTACTAACGTTTGATTATGATCAGTTTATTTGATTCATTATTTTTTTCTATTAAGATTTGAAGTATCAGTAAACAGGACCCGGAATCACAACAAAATATTTAAAGAATTTCATCCCCAATTATTAACAAAAAAAAATCAAGTGGTTAACGTTAGGATATCGGTATGTTAATCGTTTTAGTGGTTTAGGTTCCGATATCATAACGTTATCTACCATACAAGGCGGTTAACGTTAGGATATCGAACCGTTAATAGCAACAAGAAGATTGAAATACCAATAACTTAACAATGGAATCCTCGTCTTAACTCCCTATAACATAAACTTTAACATTTGCCAAACGTAAAAACAAGAATAGTGTTCGTTATCTAGGAGCTGTGGACCTACATTAACCTAGTATATACAATGAATAACGAACTGGTTTACAACGAAACTTTCCAAATAGTGTTTTTTTTTGGTTATCTTAGCTATTAATTAAAGCTTTCCGTACATTGTCACTGCCTAATATTATATACTGTTTTTTATATATATTTGGAGCCTTTCAGTGTTATCTGTACATGTTACTTAAAATTATCAAGTAATTATTTCAGGCACCACGTAGATTGGTTTGGGTATAATTCTCAAATATGTAAAGACCGCTTTGATAATTTAGTTACCTTATGATTTACAGCTAATTTAGGTAAAATCCCAATTTTTATCCCAATTTGAATTATTTAGATTATGCCCAGATAATTTAGGTAATACTTTGAATGTACATGTAATTTTATCTTGAATTATTTAATTGACGTGATAAATTATCCAACTGCTTTCTGGATTATCCCATTACCGGCTAGATTATTATTTTTTGATAACTAGGTTCATGATAATCCTCCCAAGCGGAATCTTTCAGCCTGTCGTCTTAATGTTAATACTATTTTGAGCCCATGGGTGGCAGCATCGACCGAAACCACTAAACAAAGCCGTGATTGATATATAAACCCCTGTTTTAGAATGAATTTAATCCTTTGAAGATGGTGGTTTTAACCCTTTGAGGACGATTGATAACCCTATCAGGACGATGGTTTTAACCCTTTGAGGACGATGGTTTTAACCCTCTGAAGATAATGGTTTTAACTCTTTAAAGGTGAATATTTAAATCTTTGAAGATGATGATTTAACCCATTTTAGAACGATACGATGGTTTAAGCCACCTTCTTTAGAGGGTTAAAGCATCATTTTCAAAGGTTAAACCCATTGTCCTTAAAGATGTTTTAAAGGTTATGCTGGAGTAACACCTATTTTAACACTTTTCAGTGTCGTAATGTTGAAAGATCAGATAATTTTAATGTTAAAGTGTGTTTACTCTCACTTTGGTTTGATTAACTGAAAGACGTGTTGCTGTTAGTTCTGTTAAGTAGATCCTCATCACAAATTGGGTTGATTTACTTGCTTCTGTTTGTGTTTCACTCTGATGCTTTTTTTTGTTTGTCACACGACGATACAGTAAGCTAACACTTATCTCAAGGCAAAATAAAAAGTAGATTCGTGTGGCTTCACTCGTGTGTGTGACGTGTGAGCAGATGTGGGGATGTTACCTCGGCAGCGTCGCCTCCTGTATAGGTCCCTGGTGTTGTTTCCTTGGCTGGCTGGCCACACTATGTGATGCACAAGCGTGGCTCAACACCTAGGCGTAACTTGGTCAAAATTGTAACTCACGATACATACAACTTCATGTGTCTTGTGGTCACTATTTTGTTACAGCCAGCATAACTGTGACGTCACTGCACGATTTCGTAGGCGGGCGGGGGCGTCTCACACTCTCTGGAGTTTGGGGAGTGGGTGGGCGTGGGTAGGAGGATGGCCAAGTGGTAGGGTGGCGGGTCACTGCCTGCATCAGTGGCAGGAGACGCCTGTGGCCTCTGATCAGTGAGTTCGTACGACCTCAGGACGCCGTTGAGGGTCCCTCGCGTGACGTGGGGGTGTGAGCGACCAACTCTCTCCGTGGCGCTTGTGGTCTGTCCATTGATGAGGAGATCAGGTGAGGACATTGAGACCCGCACGAGAGGGTAAGAGAGGTGTCGAGGCAAGCGGTTGTTGGTGAGTGTGGTGGAGGGGAACAGAGGTCGCCGGCGCGAGGGTGAGGCGGTTTCAGAGTCGAGAGTACAACCCCGGGCGTCGTCCTCCAGGTTGAGGCGGTGAAGGAGGATGGCGCGGGTCTTGGTGTGGAAGAGCGACACTGAAAAACACACCAAGAAGAGCAGGATGATGACGAACAAGATACCGATCAGCTCCCCGCGGTAGTTGGAGTTCTTGAGGTAGAGATGGGCGGGCACCAGCAACATGGTGATGACAATGAACGCCGTCCACAAGCACCAATTGATGCCGCCCATTCGGAAGAGGTTGAAGTTGTCGGGCATGCGGGAGTAGACGGAGGAATTGGCGGAGGTTCTGCGGGAGGAGGCGTGGGTGGAGGGGACGTTGAGGCGCGTAAGACACACCTCCTCCCCTGGCGTGGTAGAAGGCGTGGTGGTGTCCGCCAGGTGGACTCTGACGCTGTCATCCTCATCGTCAGTAGGAGGACGTGAGGCTGACCCCAGGCGACGACTGCTGCGTCCCTGGCCACACCGGCGACCATCCAGCTGCATCGATTCTATTCGCTGGAACCTGACGAAGAAACGACACCGTTACCATACATCTACCTGACAGCTTATATATCTATCCGTCCATCTATCTCTATATATCCACCCATGTGTGTGCGTGTGTGTGAGGGGGTAGTCATTGAAGCACAAGAGATACACACAACTCCTATACAGGTACACACGACCCCTACACAGGTACACACGACCCCTATACAGGTATACACGACCCTAAAACAGGTACACGCGACCCATATACAGGTACACACGACACTTACACAGGTACACACGACCTATAAACAGGTACACACGACCTATAAACAGGTACACACGACCTATAAACAGGTACACACGACACTTATACAGGTACACACGACCACTACACAGGTACACACAACCCCTATACATGTACACACGACCCTCATACAGATACACACGAATCCCTACCCAGGTACACACGAATCCCTACACAGGTACATACGACCTTTACATAGGTACACACGACCCCTCTGGACAGGTACACACGACCCATACACAGATACAGACGACCCCCTGTACCGTGTGTATTTATGTGTATGTGAGATATAAATATAGGGGGTGACTACGGGGACCCACCTGTGTACCTTTATGGGTGCAAGGGGGTGACTAGGACACCTGTGTGGGGTGACTGAGGACCCACCTGTGTACCTACGGGGACCACCTGTGTACGGGGGTGACTGGGAACACTGTGTACGGGGGTGACTACGGGGACCCACCTGTGTACAGGGGTGACTACGGGGACCCTGTGGGGGGTGACTACGGAGGGACGGGGGGTGACTGGGGACCCACCTGTGTATGGGGTAGGGGGTGACTGTGACGGGGACCCACCTGTGTACGGGGGACTAGGGACCCACCTGTGGGACCCACCTGTGTACGGGGGACTGGGACTACGGGACCACCTGTGTGGGGTGACTACCACCTGTGGGGTGACTACGGGGACCCACCTGTGTACGGGGGTGACTACGGGGACCCACCTGTGTACGGGGGTGACTACGGGGACCCACCTGTGTACGGGGGTGACTACGGGGACCCACCTGTGTACGGGGGTGACTACGGGGACCCACCTGTGTACGGGGGTGACCATAGGACAGTAGCGAGGTTTGAAGGGTGGCGAGGGCCGGGTGAGAGGGGACCGTCTCTGACCACAAACGTTTCTCTTGTCAATCCAGAAGTGCATGATGCTGTCTCCCTATGTGTACCTGGGGGAAGGGCGGGGGTTACTGGCTGATGGTGCACATACATACATACATACATACATACATACATATATACATACATACATACATACATACATAACATACATAACATACATCCATACATAAATTACATGCATTACATACAAACTTACATACATATATACATACATAACATACATACATACATACATACATACATACATATACATACATACATACATACATATATACATACCAGATATGAAAACGTAAGTACACTTACAAACATAATTGCACCACTCACACTTAAATATATACAAACACAAACAGATAAAACACACAAACACAGCATTAAACCCCACACACACACACACACACACTACCACACACACTACCACACACACACTAACACACACACACTAACACACACCCACACACACACACACACACTAACACACACACACACCCACTAACACACACACACACACACACACACACTAACACACACACCCACACACACACACCCACACACACACACACACAAACAAACACACCCACCCACACACACACCAACACACACACACCCACACACACACACACCAACAAACACACCCACCCACACACACACTAACACACACACACCACACACACACACACACTAACACACACACACACACACACACACACACACACACACACACACACACACACACACACACACACACACACACACACACACACTAACACACACACACACACACACACACACACACACACACACACACACACACACACACACACACACACACACACACACACACACACACACACACACACACACACACACACACACACTAACACACACACACACACACACACACACACACACCCACCCACACACTCACACACACACACACCCACACAGTCGCCACAGTGGCTCTCAACTCAAGGACATCTGACAGACAATTTGCCAAGACTTCCTCGCTGAGGGACACAGCGGCTGTAGTTGTTATGTCTGGCTGATCATTATCAATACATACACAGGCTCAAAAACAGCCATGTATATACACAGTGGTATACACACAACCATAAATACATACACATAAACGTACACAATCATATACACATACATGCATACAAACAGACGTATACATACACAAATACGGATATATACATCGACGTATACATATACATACAGTACACACAGCTCCCCGTCACCACCTACACGACTAACATTAAAGAGAATGAACCGTTCACAGCCACCCTGCCTAGCCCTGTCTGTACACACACACACGTACACAGACACACACACACACACACACACGGTAAACAATACTTATTACTGGACAAACAAATAACAACATGAAGCAAACAATTCGTGACAATCAGCCCAGGGGTCAAACAATCGTTCGTGGTGTAAACAAGTAATCAATAAATATATAATAAAACAACTGGAAACAAACAAGTTATCCAAGAAAGGAAACAGTGACCATCATCCCTAGAAGCAAACAGTCAAACACCAGACGGCAAACAGATATTCTTTAACCACAATACAATTAACGACAAATAACAAACAACTTTAACCACACAAACAACCACAATTGACAAACAAATTAACCACACGTAAACAAAACAATTAATTCACGTTACAATCCCAAACAATAATTGTCCAGTCAGACCATAAACTCACATTACCTTAACAACCTCGTACGATACTTTATTTATTTATCAAACTATTAAAATTAATTAATACTTGAACTATGTGTGTACCTGTCAAGTGTGTACATTATGAGGCAGTGTGCACATAGGAATTAGTGTGTACATAGGGATCAGGGTGTACATAGGAATTAGGGTGTACATAGGAATTAGGGTGTACATAGGAATCAGGGTGTACATAGGAATCAAGGTGTACATAGGAATCAAGGTGTACATATGAATCAAGGTGTACATAGGAATCAGTGTGTACATAGGAATCAGTGTGTACATAGGAATCAGTGTGTACATAGGAATCAGTGTGTGCATAGGAATCAGTGTGTACTTAGGAATCAGGGTGTACATAGGACTCAAGGTGTACATAGGAATCAAGGTGTACATAGGAATCAGTGTGTACATAGGAATCAGTGTGTGCATAGGAATCAGTGTGTACATGAATGATAATTTTACTGATTAAACTAAATATATATCAACGTGTGTCCATATATTAATAAAATTCAGGTAAATTTAGCTTCATATCATACACAGTGTTAAGAGTTGTTAAAATAAATTGTGAAAAAGAGGAATGGGATTTTTAAAACGTTCACTGTGTATAGGATATTGGCGTAGTTGTTGTTATAATGGCCTGTGTTTATATGGCGTCACTAATATGTGGAGTTATGGTATTACTGGACAGGTATTGATACGTGCGCCATCTCTAAGCTCCTGGGAAAGTACAACAAAATATCCTACATTGTTATGACCTTCACTAACCTACTTGTCGCTGTAGTACAAAATTCTAAAGGAAAATGGAAATATTTAATAGCTGGAACTTGACCTCTACAACAGATCAAATCAACAACTTACTTCATATTGTGGTGATATCTGAGGTTAATGAGGGTAGCATGACGACCCTCACCACTGGAGTCGCGTAGCACACATCCACCTCAGTGACTTTGGGGTTACAAGGTATTTTTCATCACACAAGCCCTACACACAGACATATTAAGTCTGCGGATTTCTCATCTTGACGTTTAACACTTCACATTATCCACAAGTTAATTTCACCTCCTGGATGTGTGTGTGAGTGTGTATGAGGAAGGAGACGGGGGCGGGAAGAGGAGGTGGAGGTGGTGAGGTGGTGGTCCCAAGAACTCCTGTTACGTTTTGTTGTGTTCACTCAGGGATTGCAGTGGCCGAGGTCCCCGTTGCTACTAGTCACGACCGCCTCTCACTTCTATTATTAACTCCTCTCTAATACTGGCGCCTCTGAAGACTGCCATCATTACAACTTACTCAAGATAATTAAATCTTTAATTAACATATCTAAGATGAGATTCATTTATGAGCGTTTTATTAAGTATGATGTAAATATAATTCGGCAACTCTACGTGCAGACAAATCAATGTTTGGAGAGCCACAACACTAGAGTTGTTCCCTCGCCGCATGAATTCATAGAAAACGTACGCCAATAGTTTTAAAAGAAAATGTAATAGAGTATAATATGGATGACTATAGTTTAAATCCAGCTATAGAGGAATACCTACCTTTACAACTTGGGGAAGTGAAGGCGGCCTAGTGCAGTACCGGCCACGTATAACAGGAGAAGTATTAGTCAGAGATATTCTGTTTGTCTCAACTCTTCATCTCTCTAGCTCCGTTCTTTCTCTGTCAGTTAGTCTGTCCTTCTCTATCTCCGTTTATCTCTCTATCTTTGTCTTTCTATCTCTATATTTCAGTCTATTCATATCTTGAAATTATCAGATTCTAAAATAAAAACTCCAACAGATAATGGACAAATATATTTAATCTATACCAACAGCTCTAGGAGTCACTACTTTCCTAACACTGAGCCGTAGTGACGCTGCTGTGATCATTGTTGGCATAATGGGTCGCTGTCATCTCCCCTAATGCGTTTTAAAGGGTCATATCAGGAGTTGACATGACAGTGTTTTTGGAAAGAGAGAGAGAGAGAGAGAGAGAGAGAGAGAGAGAGAGAGAGAGAGAGAGAGAGGCCGGCCTCACATAACCGACATGTCAAGGTATATTTAAGTCTCGCCAGCGTATCCCTGACTAAATCCACCGAGCCTCCTGGGAAGAAAAGAGAACAAACGCATATATCTTCGCTGACAGAAACTGCACGAGCATGAGGCTAACGTAATCCTGGAACACCTACACTGGATTAGCTTCGTTACCTTCATGGACGAGAGTGAAATACTAACGCTATTATTCTACAGCCACTAAGATAATGTCAAACGTAGTGATGACGGGAACAGAAAACACGCAAGGATATTCTTAAGACAAATCCATCAGGTACCTAAGCGATACTCACACCTGACAGACCGTCACGTACAGCCTAAAGTAATAAATTGTCTTTTATTTCATGGTAACAGCTTGATGGACAGTACTGATGATAAGACACTTGATCGACATTGCTTCAGCCGCCACAATAACATCTTGTACAAAATCATTATTAAAAAACTCTCTCCAATGCAACGCGTCACCGAAGACTTCACCAACACACTGGTTTAATGCTTAAGAAAAATATTACCATAAAATCCTCAGAAAGTCTCTTAAAACGCCCCAGGAGGTTTAAAACCATAAACGAAATTTCACCCAAAGTTTTAAAATCACGAAATTTAACCCCAAAGTCTTAATACTATAAAAAAACATTCTTAAAGTAATTTTAATAGAACAGATGGAATTCAGGGGATACGGATTACTTTAAAATATCTTCCAGAAAGTACTCAACGCATTTCAACAAACACTGAAAGAGTAAAATTCAGAATTAGTTGAGTCAGGGGGTGGGGAGATGGCCCGGGGTGACTTGTGTGTTTATAAGGCTCCTCCTCTCATTGCTTGGGTCACCGCCGACTGTGTCTTGACTCTTACTGGTGAACCTTATAATGGAAACCTGATACCCCCCACTGTCTCCTGCCCTCACCAACCACCCACACCCAGTACCTCAACGATGTCCCCCCCCACATCCACCCACACTCATACACTCCCACCAAAACACACACCCATCAGTCCCACCTATCCACACACCCACCCTCACACAATCCCACCCAAACACACGCTCACCCACACCTCTGATCATACTCCGATACACACATCCGCCCAAACACCCTCACACACTCCCACCCATCCACACACCCACCCTCACACACACCTACTCACATACACTCACCCACACATCAGATCAAACTCCCACCCGCACACATACGCCCACTCCCCCACATGATTCTAACCCACACACCCATAATTTGCTACACTCTAACACCTCCAGTTACACCCTAATACACTCAGTCACACCATAATGCATCCAATTACACCATACTACACCCAGCCACACCCTCCTTCACCCAACCACACCATACTACACCCAACCACACCTTTATACACCCAGATACACCTTTATACACCCAGCCACACCCTCCTACACCCTACAGGTCCAGGGTGTAGTTCACTGAGACACCCTACTGCTTCAACGACCCGCCCCTCACCGTGTCGCTTGCCCTCAGGTTAATTGAGTCATTTTAGTCCTTGTTTCGAACCCTCGTTAACTCGTGTTCACCTGGACCACCTGTGTGTGTGTCTCTTTCTGCTCAAGGAACTAGGGGCGCTTTGAGCTAGGGTTTGGTACACACACACACACACACACACACACACACACACATTGAAGTCTGGTGTTCCTTGAGGCGTCTTTACTCCCATACGTCGTCAAGAGCTGTCTACTGACGGGCCTGCTGACGGGGACGTGTTAAATTGACGAGGGTAACTATAAATGCTCCTTCCTCACTCCCATACTTCGTCAGTAGACGTGTGTGTGTAGGGGCATGTGTGGAGGCATGTGTGGAGGCGTGTGTGGAGACGTGTGTGTAGGCGTGTGTAGGCGTGTGTAGGCGTATGTGGATGCGTGTGTGTAGGTGTGTGCAGGGATGTGAGCGAGGGAGGTAGGGTCAGGGTGTGGTCAGGGTCTTATGTGTGTTGGGTCAGTCCCGGAACAAATCTCTGAACATAAACACAGCTTTATGCACTGAAACACAAGACCAGTTGTAATGGTGCCACCCAGGGCCCCACCCCACGCCCCGCCGCCCACATCATACCCAAACTCTGCCACCCCACGCCCTGCCGCCCACATCATACCCAAACTCTGCCACCCCACGCCCTGCTGCCCACATCATACCCAGGCCTGTCATTCCCTATCCCGCCACCCACACCACACCCCAGGCCCTGCCACCCCACGCCCCGCCGCCCACATCACACCCCAGGCCCTGCCATCTCCCGCCCCGCCGCCCACACCACACCCCAGGCCCTGCCACCTCCACGCCCTGCCGCCCACACCACACCCCAGGCTCTGCCACCTCCCGCCCTGCCGCCCACACCACACCCTGCTGCCTACACCCATATCCCACTACCTACACCACATCCCAACCCTGCTGCCTACACCATATCCCATTACCTACACCACATCCCAACCCTGCCACCCCTAATATAGTCCCTATTTAATACCTCACTACATTCTCTATTCAACATAACCCCTATTTAATTCCCCATTATAGTAGCCGCTATTATATTCACTATTTAATACAACCCTATAATATTATAAGCCCCTAACATACACCTATCTAATGTAACCCCAATTTTAATCCCCTATTATATCCTACAATATTAGCACCCTTCACCTGAGTGTCTGGCCCATCAGAGCTCTGCCAATCAGGTTTGTTTACAGAACGAACTAAACTAAACTATAAGATAAGGTATAGTGGCCTTATAGGGGTGGGGTAGGTCGTGACTCATACCTACCACCAACACCACGCTACCACCCCGCCCTACCACCAACACCACGCTACCACCTCCGCCCCTACCACAAGCTTTATGGTCTCTGTCTTAGTGGGCGGGAGAGGGTGGGGATGGGGTTGGTGGGTGGGTATTGGGCACTGCCTCACATTTAGTCCTCCAACACCTCCCCTGGCACCCCTCCCAGTGCCCCAGATACCTCCCTGGGCACCCCTCCAGTGCCCCAGACACCTCCCTGGGAACCCCTCCCAGTGCCCCAGACACCCTCCCTGGGCACCCCCTCCCAGTGCCCCAGACACCTTCCTGGGCACCCTCCCAGTGCCCCAGACACCTCCCCTGGGCACCCTCCCAGTGCCCCAGACACCCTTCCCTGGGCACCCCTCCCAGTGCCCCAGACACCCCTTCCCTGGGCACCCTCCCAGTGCCCCAGACACCTCCCTGGGCACCCTCCCAGTGCCCCAGACACCCTTCCCTGGGCACCCCCTCCCAGTGCCCCAGACACCCTTCCCTGGGCACCCCTCCCAGTGCCCCTGACACCCTCCCTGGGAACCCTCCCAGTGCCCCAGACACCTCCCCTGGGCACCCTCCCAGTGCCCCTGACACCCTTCCTGAGCACCCTCCCAGTGCCCCAGACACCCTCCCCTGGGAACCCTCCCAGTGCCCCAGACACCTCCTGGGCACCCCTCCCAGTGCCCCAGACACCTCCCTGGGCACCCCCTCCCAGTGCCCCAGACACCTCCCCTGGGCACCCCCTCCCAGTGCCCCTGACACCCCTCCCCTGGGCACCCCTCCCAGTGCCCCAGACACCTCCCAGTGCCCCAGACACCCCTCCCAGTGCCCCAGACACCTCCCTGGGCACCCCTCCCAGTGCCCCAGACACCCCTCCCCTGGGCACCCCTCCCAGTGCCCTGACACCTCCTGCACCTCCTCCCAGTGCCCCAGACACCTCCTGGGCACCCCTCCCAGTGCCCCAGATGACTTACATTATAAAACCTTTAATTAAATTACCAGCTCGAGGGAAAAATTTTTAGTAAGCCATAAAGCCGTGAGAGAGCCCCAGGGGCCGAGTGTCAATTAGCGGCCCCCAGCCAGCCTCTACAGGTCGAGCTGAACACCAAAGACATAACAGCACAGTATAACAACATAAATACTGACATTATGATAAAGAGATTAAGTTTAACCTAACCTAACCTTACCTAACATAACTTAACGTAACACCAAAGGTAATATAGGCTGGGGTGGCGGTCCTTCAGGTGATCCATCATCAAATTACAAACCTCATAATATTATCGTAAGGCAGAGGAGGATTACTTAACGTACACACAGTCAAAAAAGTATCTATACGGTGGTGAACGATGAATTTCAAAATGAACATTGTGACTCTTGTTGTCTCGGTAGGGTTGTCAGAATCTTTCGTCCATTGTGTTATATTGTCTCACACTAATTGGTTAAGATACTCTTTTGGGAGCGAGTTTACCTGATACCTGTAGGGGGACGATTGAGACTCACGGATCAATTAGAGCACTGAGACGTGGGCCTGGGGTACCTGGACCACTCGTGAGGGGGAGTAAGAGGGGGAGGTATGGTGAGGAGGGGTGGGAGGGAAGTATGGTGAGGTGGGGGAGGAGGTATGGTGAGGGAGGGGTGAGGGAGGTATGGTGAGGAGGGGTGAGGAGGTATGGTGAGGAGGGGTGAGGGAGGTATGGTGAGGAGGGTGAGGGAGGTATGGTGAGGAGGGGTGAGGGAGGTAGAGGAGGGTGAGGGAGGTATGTGAGGAGGGGTGAGGTATGGTGAGAGGGGTGAGGGGAGGTATGGTGAGGAGGTTACGTAAACGAGGGAAGTTTTCAATATCTTAGATTATTACGAGAAGTGTTTGATGGGAGAGTCGGGTTGAACAGCGGGACACACACACCTTAAAGTCTGGTGTTCCTTGAGGTATCTTTTACTCCCATACATCGTCAGGAGCTGTCTACTGACGGCCCTGCTGACGGAGCCGTGTTAAAATGACGAGGGCAACGATAAAGGCCTTTCCTCACACCAATACATTGTCAGGCGCCGGGGCTGACTACCTACAAGAGGACCCTCCTGAAGCTGGTCGAAACAGAGGCTCATCTTCAAGTCTCGGGGGCTTGTACCTGCCTGTGAGGACGTGTGTTACCGCCGGCCACACCACCCACGCCGCCACCCACACCACCCACGCCGCCACCCACACCCACCGCCGCCGCCCACACCGCCCACGCCGCCGCCCACCACCCACGCCGCCGCCCACCACCCCCACGCCGCCGCCCACACTGCCCACGCCACCCATCATCGCTTTCTGTAGTGAGGAAAGATTCTGAAGTCAGTATAAATATTTTTCTCTCTTGTTCACCTTACCTGTTAATGGCATGGTGCGGACGTCGGCGAGCTAGGGGGGGGCCATCGTTATCCCTCACCTCACCTGTCTTCGCCTGTCTTCACTTGTACCCTCACTCTGTACCCTCACCTGTACCCTCACCTCCTCCCTCACCTGTACCCCTCACCTCCCCTCCTCACCTGTACCTCACCTGTACCCTCACCTCCTCACCTGTACCCTCACCCCTCCTCACCTGTACCCTCACCTGTACCCCACCTTCCTCCTCACCTGTACCCCTCACCTCCCTCCACCTGTACCCCCACCTCCTCCTCACCTGTACCCTCACCTCCTCCTCACCTGTACCCTCACCTCCCTCCTCACCTGTACCTCACCTCCCTTCACCCAGCCTCACCTCCCTCCCTCACCTGTACCCCTCACCTTCCTCCTCACCTGTACCCTCACCTCCCTCCTCCCTGTACCTCACCTCCCTCCTCACTGGCACCTCCACCTCCCCTCCTCCCCCCACCTCATCTTCCCCTCACCTCCCTCCTCACCTACCCCTCACCCCCCTCCCTCACCCTCTTCCCCTCATCTTCCTCCTCACCTGTACCTCACCTCCCTCCTCACCTGTTACCCTCACCTGTACCCCTCACCTCCCTCTCACTGTACCCCCTCCCCCCCTCTCCCTGTCCCTCACCTCCCTCCTCCCCACCCGTGCCTCCACCTTCCTCCTCCCTGTACCCTCACCTCCCTCCTCACCTGTACCCTCACCTGTACCCTCACCTCCCCTCCCCTCACCTGTACCCTCCCCACCCCCCCCTCCCCTCACCTGTACCCTCACCTCCCTCCCTCACCTGTACCCTCACCTCCCCTCCTCCCCACCTGTACCCTCACCCCCCTCCCTCCCACCTGTACCCTCACCTCCCCTCTCTGCACCCTCACCCCCCTCCCCTCTACCTGTACCCTCACCTTCCCTCCCTCCCCTGTACCCCTCCTTCCCCCCCTCCCCCTCCCTGTACCCTTACCCCCTCCCTCCCCTGTCACCCTTACCCCCTTCTCACCTGTACCCTCACCCCTCCTCCTGTACCCTCACCTCCTTCTCACCTGTACCCTCACCTGTACCCTACCCCCCTTCTCACCTGTACCCTCACCTGCCCTTCCCCTCCTCACCTGTACCCCTCACCTCCCCTCCTCCACCTGTACCCCTCACCTGTACCCTTATCTCTCTTCTCCCTGTCCTCACCTGTACCCTCACCTGTACCCCTCACCTGTCCCTCACCCCCCTCCCCTCACCTGTACCCCTCACCTCCCTCCTCCCACCTGTACCTCCCACCTGTACCCTCCCCCTTCCCTCCTCACCTGTACCCCTCCCACCTCCCCTCCTCACCTGTACCCTCACCCCCCCCTCCTCACCTGTACCCTCCACCTGTACCCTTATCTCTCTTCTCACCTGTACCCTCACCTGTACCTCACCTGTACCTCTCACCTGTACCCCCTCACCTCCCTCCTCCCACCTGTACCCTCCACCTCCCTCCTCACCTGTACCCTCACCTGTACCCTCCCACCTTCCTCCTCACCTGTACCCACCTCCCTCCTCACCTGTACCCCTCACCCCCTCCTCACCTGTACCCTTCCCCCCTCCTCACCGTACCCTCACCCCCCTCCCTCACCTGTACCCTTACCCCCCTTCCTCACCTGTACCCTCACCTGTACCCTCACCCCCTCCTCACCTGTACCCTCACCCCCCTTCTACCCTCTTTACCCCCCTCCCTCCACCTCCCTCCTCACCTGTACCCTTACCCCTTCTCACCTGTACCCCTCACCTGTACCCTTATCCTCTCTTCTCACCTGTACCCTCACCTGTACCCCTCACCCCCCTTCTCCCCACCTGTACCCCTCACCTGTACCCCATCCCTTCTCACCTGTACCCCTCACCTGTACCCTTACGTCCCTTCCTCACCTGTCACCCTCACCTGTACCCTTACGTCCCTTCTCACCTGTACCTCACCTGTACCCTTACGTCCCTTCTCACCTGTACCCCTCACCTGTACCCTTACGTCCCTCCCCTCCACCTTACCCTCACCTGTACCCTTACGTCCCTTCTCACCTGTACCCTCACCTGTACCCTTACGTCCCTTCTCACCTGTACCCTCACCTGTACCCTTACCCCCCTCCTCACCTGTACCCTCACCTACCCTTACCTTCTCCCACCTCACCCCTCTCCCTCCCACCTGTACCCTACGTCCCTTCTCCCCTTACCACCTTCTCACCTGTTCCCTGTTCACCTGTACCCTTGTCTCCTCGTCCCTTCTCACCTGTACCCTCCTGTCCCTCACGTCCTTCTCCCTCACCCTCCTCCTCCCTTCTCACCTGTACCCTCCTGTTCACCCCCCCCTCCTCCTGTGTACCCTCACCTGTACCCTCAACTTCCTTCTCACCTGTACCCTCACCTGTGCCAACATCTCACCTGTACCACACCTGTACCCTCCCTTTCCACCTCTACCTACACCTCACCTGTACCACTACCCTCCCCACACCCTCTACCCCTGCCCACACCTACCCACACCTGTACCCACTACTGTACCCACACCTACACTCATCTGCCCGCCATATTTACATTAATAAACAAAACACCAGAATTATGGCCATTATAAGAAGGTTCAGTTCAGTAAATATTTTAACACAGAAATATTTAACTGATACACCAACCGGTCCTCAGATCACAACCTCATTGTTCAGATTTCCATACTAAAACATTGACAGCGAAACCTCCCTATAACGGACTTCTCTCTATCTATAATCCGTTAGATAGAGGTTTCATATCTTACGGACCCAAAATATAACGGACTTTTATCACTATGTAGTTTGTTAGATAGAGGTTTCATATCTAATAAACCCTTGATATAACGGACTTCCCTCTTCATATAGTACGTTAAATAGAGGTTTTATTATAAAGGACATGTTACCGCGACCAATCAAGCTCTAGTGTGAAGTTGATGAAAGCCCTACACCCCACCACCGTCTTATAGGAAATCTAGACGTGATTTACCGGGCCTATAACACAGTGTTGATATATGATGGTAAACACGCTGATAACAAAAGGCCTTTCTCATTATAACCATTTCTAAAAAAAATCCTAACCTAACCTAACCTAACCTAAACTAGTCACGAAGTCATTTATTCAAGCACTACTTAGTTAACTACATATACTCGACGTGGTTACGATGAGCTGTGTGTGTGTGTGTGTGTGTGTGTGTGTGTGTGTGTGTGTGTTAGTGTGGTTCGTGGTTGGCATTAGAGGTAGTAGGTGGCGCAAACTTCCCTCCAACCTGGGGGGCTGATTATGATGTACCTTTAGTAGCCTCACCAGCCACCTGAGCAAGGAGGAACACGACTCATTATCATAGTTATTACAAGTGTCGCTTGTACACTTGTGTCCAGGTGTGCCCAGGTGTGCTCGGTCCACCGCTCTCATTTACCTGTCCTTAATGTACAGGTTTCAGGCTGGGTCTCCACGATGTTTGTTAAGTGTTCTGGTTTAGTCTTGATAAAACATGTGTTAGGTTACCTGCAGGGTGGAGCTTTTATCAGTAATATGTCTCCCAGTGACAGCCTCTCCTCCACACACACCTGCGCGACACCTGATATCATATCATTACCTGAGGGAACTCCTCAACCTTTACCTTAGTTGACGCTGTAAATTGGAGCGGAAGAAATTGTTGTCGAGGTGACGACCAACAACGGTGAGACACTACGCGGCGACCATCTCCTCGGTGTCCTGGGTCGTCTTGGAGTCTGAATATATTATTCAAATTTGGCAGAGGTCATCATGATGGTGTTTGAGTAAGGTAATTGAGGTGTAGCGAGGCGGGCAGGGTGTGGCGGGGAGCTGGAGCAGGCGGGTGGCAGCGGTGCGCGGGTCGGGCGGCTACCGCAGTGCGGGGCGTGGCCGCCCGTCTGCTCCGCCAATGGGGCGACGGTGGTGGCGGGAGCCAGGAGGGCTGGCCACCGCCGCCACAGTCACTGTCCGGCCTCCGCGGTGATCGCACCCGCCATGACGCTCGACCCCCGGCCTCTAGTGCCCTCCTCACCCCCACCGCCCACTTCCGCCGCCATGACAGACCCCGCCGGGCCCCGGCCTTGTCCCCGCCACCCTCACGCCCGCCGCCGCCCACACTCCCGGTGTCTTCATTGGCGGCGGCCTCCGCCTTGTCCATGGTGCCGCGATCATCAGCGTTCACGGCCGTGTTCCCGTCCATAGGCCGCGCGCCCTTGCCGGACCTGGCGGCACTCAACCTGGCGGCCTTCGAGTCTTACCTGGCACTAACGGGACTCTCTCGCCTCACTCAGCGACAGCCGTCAGACAGTCTGTCATCACACAGTAAAAAGTTTGACTTCTCTCGCCTGGCAGAGAGTGTATCGGAGAGCGAGAAGCGAGCGGCCAGCGGCAGTCCGCCTCTACCTGTCTCCTCGGCGGTGGCGGCGGCCAACCTGGCGCAGGTGGCACCTCTTATGTCATCGGTCAGGTCACTGCCGTTGCTCACCGACACTTACCCCCTGCTGCTTAACCCTTTATATCAGTCTATGTTGGCACAGCAGCAACAACAACAGCAACAACAGCAACAACAACAACACCCGACCGTGGGTTACCGGCGTGCCATCGGCAGAGGACAGGCCCACGACCCAAGAAACAGTTCATCTGTAAATACTGCAACAGACAGTTCACCAAGAGTTACAACCTTCTCATCCACGAACGTACACACACGGACGAGCGGCCGTACACCTGCGACATTTGCGGCAAGGCTTTCCGCCGCCAGGACCACCTCCGGGACCACAGGTGAGACAACATCACTAATTAATCACTCTTAACCTCAGGTGTACCACCGACCACGTCCAGTACCTGCCCTGCCCTGCCTCACCTGTCCTTCCTAGCATTAATAACAACCTGTAATAAGTCTGTCACGCTGTATACACACACACACACGTAAATAAGACATGGATACACCTACTCACTCGTAAGCAAAATATACACAGTTGTTTATAAGAGAAGCGTAGTTGTAAACATTAAACCAAGATAAGTGGCATCAAACAAGACATATTTATCCATAACAAAACATAGAGTTGGAAAAACACATTTGTAAACAACATAAACACATTGTAAAAAGGATATAAATGTTTGTCAAGAATATACTGTATATACTGTATATATATATATATATATATATATATATATATATATATATATATATATATATATATATATATATATATATTTCATGTAAATCCACAATGAAAACGTGGATAAGATAAATCTTGATAAAATCACACGGAAAAGGTGCTCCGTTGTTTCCCTTTTCCGTGTGTGATTATCGATATATATATATATATATATATATATATATATATATATATATATATATATATATATATATATATATATATATTATTATATATATATAAGTTTGTAAACTGGATTTGCACATTTGTAAAATGCTAAACGTCTGTAAACAATATAAAGATGTTTGTAAAGAAGACATACACACGACGCCTTCCTTAAACACCACAAGACATAGGTACTGTACACTACCTGTTGTAATAACTCTGTATAATTATAAACAATGTTTACAGCGTCGTAAAAAGAATTGTAAACAAAACTTTCATGATTGTAAAAAATAACGAATAGCTGTAAATAAGATACACCTTGTAGGGTAGGGTGAAGGGGTAGGGTGAAGGGGTAGGGTGAAGGGCTAGGGTGATGGGGTAGGGTGAAGGGCTAGGGTGAAGGGGTAGGGTGAAGGGTAGGGTGAAGGGCTAGGGGTGAGGGGTAGGGTGAGGGGTAGGGTGAGGGCTAGGGTGAAGGGGTGGGTGATGGACTAGGGTGAAGGGCTAGGGTGAAGGGCTAGGGTGAGGCTAGGGTGAAGGGCTAGGGTGAGGGCTAGGTGAAGGGCTAGGGTGATGGACTAGGGTGAAGGGCTAGGGTGATGGGGTAGGGTGAAGGGGTAGGGTGATGGGCGAGGGTGAAGGGGTAGGGTGATGGACTAGGGTGAAGGGCTAGGGTGAAGGGGTAGGGTGAAGGGGTAGGAGTGATGGGCTGGGTGAAAGGGGTAGGGTGATGGGCTAGGGTTGAAGGGGTAGGGTGATGGACTAGGGTGAAGGGCTAGGGTGATGGGCTAGGGTGAAGGGCTAGGGTGATGGACTAGGGTGAAGGGGTAGGGTGATGGACTAGGGTGAAGGGCTAGGGTGATGGGGTAGGGTGAAGGGGTAGGGTGATGGGCGAGGGTGAAGGGGTAGGGTGATGGACTAGGGTGAGGGCTAGGGTGAAGGGGTAGAGGTGAAGGGGTAGGAGTGATGGGCTAGGGTGAAGGGGTAGGGTGATGGACTAGGGTGAAGGGCTAGGAGTGATGGACTAGGGTGAAGAGGGCTAGGGTGATGGGGTAGGGTGAAGGGGTAGGGTGATGGGCGAGGGTGAGGGGTAGGGTGATGGACTAGGGTGAAGGGCTAGGGTGAAGGGGTAGGGTGAAGGGTAGGGTGATGGGCTAGGGTGAGGGGTAGGGTGATGGGCTAGGGTGAAGGGGAGGGTGATGGACTAGGGTGAAGGGGATAGGGTGATGGGGTAGGGTGAAGGGGTAAGGTGAAGGGCTAGGGTGAAGGGCTAGGGTGAAGGGGATAGGGTGATGGGGTAGGGTGAAGGGGAAGGTGAAGGGCTGGGTGAAGGGCTAGGGTGAAGGGGTAGGGTGAAGGGGCTAGGGTGAAGGGCTAGGGTGATGGGCTGGGTGATGGGCTAGGGTGAAGGGGTAGGGTGAAGGGCTAGGGTGAAGGGCTAGGGTGAAGGGTTGGGTGAAGGGCTAGGGGTGAAGGGGTAGGGTGATGGGGTAGGGTGAAGGGGTAGGGTGAAGGGCTAGGGTGAAGGGGTAGGGTGAAGGGCTAGGGTGAAGGGTAGGGTGAAGGGCTAGGGTGAAGGGGGTGGGTGAGGGTTGGGTGAGGGCTAGGGTGAAGGGGTGATGGGGTAGGGTGAAGGGGTAGGGTGAAGGGCTAGGGTGAAGGGTGGGGTGAGGGGCTGGGGTGAAGGGTAGGGTGAAGGGGTAGGGTGAAGGGGTAGGGTGATGGGGTAGGGTGAAGGGGTAGGGTGAAGGGCTAGGGTGAAGGGGTAGGGTGAAGGGGCTAGGGTGATGGACTAGGGTGAAGGGGTAGGGTGAAGGGCTAGGGTGAAGGGGTAGGGTGATGGGCTACGGTGAAGGGTAGGGTGATGGGCTAGGGTGAAGGGGGTAGGGTGATGGGCTAGGGTGAAGGGGTAGGGTGATGGGCTAGGGTGAAGGGGTAGGGTGAAGGGGTAGGGTGATGGGCTAGGGAAGGGGTAGGGTGATGGCTAGGGTGGGTGAGGGGTGGGTGAGGGCGGGTGGGGTGGGGGGTGAGGGTGGGTGATGGACTAGGGTGAAGGGGTAGGGTGAAGGGCTAGGGTGAAGGGGTAGGGTGAAGGGCTAGGATGAAGGGGTAGGGTGAGGGGTAGGGTGATGGGCTAGGGTGAAGGATAGGGTGATGGGCTAGGGTGAAGGGTAGGGTGATGGGCTAGGGTGAAGGGGTGGGTGAAGGGCTGGTGAAGGGGTAGGGTGATGGGCTAGGGTGAAGGGGTTGGGTGATGGGCTAGGGTGAAGGGTAGGGTGATGGGCTACAGTGAAGGGGTAGGGTGATGGGCTAGGGTGAAGGGGTAGGGTGAAGGGGTAGGGTGAAGGGCTAGGGTGAAGGGGTAGGGTGATGGGCTAGGGTGATGGGGTAGGTGTGATGGGCTAGGGTGATGGGGTAGGTGTGATGGGTAGGGTGAAGGGGTAGGGTGATGGGTTAGGGTGATGGGCTAGTATGAAGTGCTAGGATGAAGGGTAGGATGAAGGGGTAGGATGATGGGGTAGGGTGGGCTTGGGTGAACAGCTAGGGTGATGGTCTAGGATGAAGGGCTAGGATGAAGGGATAGGGTGAAGGGCTTGGGTGAAGGGCTAGGGTGAGGGCTAGGATGAAGCTGGATGAAGGGTAGGATGAAGGAGGGTAGGATGAAGGGCTAGGATGAAGGGCTAGGATGAAGGGCTAGGATGAAGGCTGGGATGAAGGGCTAGGATGAGGGCTAGGATGAAGGGCTAGGATGAAGGGCTAGGATGAAGGGCTAGGATGAAGGGCTCAGGATGAAGGGCTAGGATGAAGGGCTAGTATGAAGGGCTAGGATGAAGGGCTAGGATGAAGGGCTAGGATGAAGGGCTAGGATGAAGGGCTAGGATGAAGGACTGGGATGGGGGCTAGGATGAAGGGCTAGGATGAAGGGCTAGGATGAAGGGCTAGGATGAAGGGCTAGGGTAAAGGGCTAGGATGAAGGGCTAGGATGAAGGGCTAGGATACGGTTTAAATCATCGTATTCAAGAGGGTTAAAATGGTTCCTTCAGGCATTAGCATAGTTTCCTTGTTGACAAAATGATGAAACACACACACTCTATCTCTCTCTCTCTCTCTCTCTCTGTGTTCTCTCTCTCTCTCTCTCTCTCTCTCTGTGTTCTCTCTCTCTCTCTCTCTCTCTCTCTCTCTCTCTCTCTCCCTCCGTCTCTCTGTCTCTCTCTCCTCAACACCCAAACAACCACCTCACACCAAAATACCCAAACAACCACCTCACACCAAACACCCAAACAACCCCTCATACCAAAAACAAACACCCAAACAACCCCTCACACCAAAAACAAACACACCCAAACAACCCTCTCTATACCCCAACAAACACCAAACAACCACCTCCTTATACCTAAAACAAACACTCCAAACAACCCCCTCATACCAAAAACAAACACCCAAACAACCCTCATATACTCTAAACAAACACCCAAACAACCCCCTCATACCAAACAAACACCCAAACAACCCCCTCATACCAAAACAAACACCCAAACAACCTCACACCAAAACAACAAATACCCAAACAACCCTCATACCAAAAACAAACACTCCAAACAACTCCCTCATACCAAAAACAACACCCAAACAACCCCCTCATACCAAAAACAAACACCCAAACAACCCTCTCTGCATACCTAAACAAAACACCCAAACAACCACCTTCATACTCAAACAAAATCTAAACAACCACCTCATACCTAACAAACACCCAAACAACCACCTCTATAACAAAACAAACACCCAAAACAACTCCTCATACTCTAAAACAAACACCCAAACAACCCTCATACCAAAACAAACACTCAAACAACCCTCATACCAAAACAAACACCTAAACAACCCCTATACCAAAAACAAACACTCCAAACAACCTCCTCACACTAAAACAAACACCAAACAACCCCCTATACCTAAACAAACATCAAACAACCCTCATACCAAAAACAAACACCCAAACAACCACCCCACACCAAAACAAACACCAAACAACTACCTCACACCAAAACAAACACTCCAAAATGTCTCCTCACACCTAAACAAACACTCCAAACAAATCCTCACACCCTAAACAAACACCTAAACAACCCCCTCATATACCTAAACAAATACCCAAACAACCCCTCACACCCAAACAAACACCCAAACAACCCCTCATACCTAAACAAACACCCAAACAACCCCTCATACCTAAACAAACACCTAAAACAAATCTCCTCACACTTAAACAAACACCCAAACAACCCTCACACACCTAAACAAACACCAACAACCCTCACACCTAAACAAACACCCAAACAACCCCTCATACCCAAACAAACACCCAAACAACCACCTCATACCTAAACAAACACTCCAAACAACCCTCACACCTAAACACCCAAACAACCCCTGGTACCAAAAACAAACACC